GTTCTAGACTCGCGGCAGGTCATTGCGGTTGAATACCCACACCCTCTGACCGGTACAAGTCCGTGTCGTGTCGTAAGGCAAGAATGAACAGGTAATTATTTCAAAACTCAGTTTCTCACAGGGTTGGGGCAACCCACAAGGGTAGCGATTAGGTATAACGACGGAATTTGGTGAGGAAAGGTGGAGGGAGGCGTTCTAGCCTTGGTAACTTGTACTGATTCCACAAGTACGGAGTAGTAACTAAAATAACAATCGTATGATGTTTTGATCTATCTGGCGGTAAGTCACCGCCGCCTACTCCGTACTTTTTCTTCCCACCGTAGCCATACATACTGTGCCGCATGGATTTGCGTCACCCGGAGACGTTTAGCGGCTGAACTTGTCCTCGCAAACTATGTTCGATACCGGACGAACTTTTGCAGGGTGCCAGGTAAGATTGGTAGGGAAGATTAGGTTCCATGGTTAGCTACATTAGTCACTACCTGTAGCTATGCAGTTTGATTCCGAGAGGAAATTTGACCTGGACTGCAAGCCAAAGTTTATTAAGCGAATCTTGAATCGAAGGTAAATGAAGAAGAGCAGAATGGGGAGAGGATCCAACCCCTCCAATAATAATAATAAAAAGGATGAATAGTGGACATTGATGGAGAACTTGGCAGATTCGATTTCCACTCGTCAACAAGCCAGCACGTTTGCCATGTCATTGAGTAATGGAACAAAGGACATAAGCTGGCGTTGTTCACTCCACAATTCCAGGGCACAGGGATATATGATTGGGCTTTAGAAAGTGAGAATTTTTTTTCCCCTTCGTTTTCTCTCAGTTGAAGGCCCTCCACCGCCTCGTCGGAACGAAACTTGTACTTCAAAAGCCACCGTTTCGGCCCCACTAGTCCCTAGGTAATCAATCTTGCAGGACTTGCAGCTGCTGACGGGAAACCCCTTGTTCCCGCGGCCCCGTCGTTCGAAGTCAGCCTATGGTCCAGGTACTCCGCACACTATACTCACGATCTTATTATTATTGAAGGTTATAGTCGTCTTACATTCTGTATTACTTAAGGATTTAGCATCGTATCGAAAGTTTTGACAGGGGATCAGCTCCTATCAATTCCATGGAATGTATGAAGGTCAATCAAAGGATGGAGATCATCGCTTATATGTTAAGGAGGGATAATGCCAAGCAATAATTGTACAAAAGCCATGGGCCCAAGCAATACTATCCGCATGTATCATGTATGAAGTGCCTAAGTAGTTTACATGCGGATCCCATTGAGTAGACTACAGGTGTAGTGCACGAGATGAACTCGTCTTTGGCCGTGATAGGCTTGACTCTACGACGCATAGTGAGTCTGGATCCATAGCCTACTACCACTTTCCGGTTCCAGGCCGAGAGATCAACAGGCCCAATTTAACAGGAAACTATCGAGACTTAGATATCGCGAGATATTCAGGCTTTGAGATAATGAAAAGCTGATAGTAATAGGACCCTTTTTCTTTATTCTTCGCCCTCCTTGTGCTTCTCACGGGAAAGAAGCGTGAACCCGTCCAGGTAGTAAGTCGAATGAAATAGAAAGTTAGAACCATAGATAACGCTGCATCTAAATGCTCAAGGCTCATACCATATGGGTTGAGGGAGAGGTGAGGGATGGGGAAAAAAAAAAGAGAAAGAAAGGTAACAAAAAGTTACTGCACTTCAAACGAACAGACCGATTTTGAGACAGTCTTATCCTACTTAATTGGTCCAAAGGCACGCTGAAACTTGAGTAATGTATGACAAGGAGGCGGACCTCAAGCCATGCGGCGTACAATACAGTGTATTTAATAGTGACGCATGTATCATTTTTGCTAACATTAACTTCGATTAGGTAGGTATATCGGAGATATCTATTGAGACCCTACGGAGTTCCCTATGGCCACATGCTGTCAAGATTTCGTATGTGATCCTGCTCCATGTACATTAAGCGGTAACAATATGCAACATGCATCCGCATCCACAGCCTTACCCAGCATGAGTGGTTGACAGCAATTCACCTACGACAAGTACCATGTCAACACTGGATAGATCCAGGTGTATGTCAGCTCACCTCAACAAGATTCAGAAATGGTGAAGGTCAGCAGCATACGAAGGAAATTGAAGCGGGGGGAAGGGTAGGAGGGATTCATTTAAGGAAACCCACAGCACCCGGGATGATCCACCATCGCAACCACGGGAGAGAGACGGTTTAACGCCGTGTTGAGACCGGACTTGACAACACGAGGATAATTTCAAGGCATCTAGATGCATTACTTCTCTTGAAGCTTAACATCGTAAAAAGTTTCATAAGGCCGCTCACATAGTAGATGGCCAATTAGCCAAGATTTAATATGACTTTGACCAACGTGTGGAATTAAAAACGAAGCCTACCCACGTGTAAGGAAATTGGAGATAATGGATGCTATTTGATCAATTAGATAGAAAGATACAGCTAACAGTGGACATACACACCCGTTCAATGAAACAATGACTGCCCTGATAAGGTCGGTCAAGGCAGTAATGAGGTGCAGAAAGTTGGACGAGGCGAACGGCTTTTAGGAAGACCCCGGATCCTAGTAGTGTCTGACTAGTGTCATTGCCTATGGCTGATACTTTCCTTTCTAGGCTTGGAGTTCGTTCGCCGTTGACAGATCCATCGCCATGGTCCGGCACTAATTGGACAGACAGCCCAAGGCCGTTGGGACTCGGAAATCTAAATTGATTACAAGTGAACCAACCAAGACAGCAAAAACGGGAGAAGAACCTGAAGCGGAGGCTTGATTAATTCGATGATAGAAAACCCAAAGGATACACAGTACAAGAATATTATACTTTATATTATTTCATATTTCTTTCATTTTTTTCCTTTTCCTTTTGTATATATATATAAAAGAGAGAACATATATTGGAAAAAATGGAAAAGAAGAGAAAGTGAAAGAGGGAATAATCAAAAAGGAGGGTGAGCCCTAACTTGAAAACTACGATGTGTGTGATATCAAGGGAGGTCAACGATCTCAAGAAGAAGGTTGGATTTGGTTTGACAATACTAGAGGGATTCAATTCACTAGGAATACGTAGGTAGTATAAGTACGCGATTGCGAACGATAAATCTGTATCTCACACTTCTATCCTGGAGGTATTTCCTATCTTGCACTCAATGACCCAGTCTTTCCCAGTATGGGAAAATGAATGAATTAAAGACCTTGTTACAAACATTTTTAGAATTTGACGCCGTCGTTGTTACGCAAACCCATAGATGCTCGTCTTTCCATTCTGGTTGGAGCTCCCCAAATCATTCATACCTGGTTCAGGATGATACTGGTCTCCACAGGGAGGAACCATGTTCTTTGTAGTAACTAAGTACTAGTACTCATACTGTCGGAAGGTTTTATTATTTTAAAAATTTTTTATCACACCCCAGCTACTAGTCTAGATAGATAGTCCCTCTGAGTCTCTACTTATTATTGTGGTTTTCGTTTTTATCTTATTACACTTTTTCTTTTTTTCCCCTCTTCTTATTTCAACCTTTTATTTTTTTTTGGCCCTCCTTTCCACCTTTGACTTTTTACTAAATATCCTAACTTTCGGGTCGTATACCGGGGTTCCCGGTTGTGCAAGACCCAGCCAGTGGCTCAGGCCTTAATTTCTCCTATACCCTTTTCCTTTCTCCCCCTCCTCTATTATTGCGTAGTTCACTTTGCTACTCGCCGTTTAAACTTCATGCTGCCCTTCTCCGTAATTAATCTTCCACTCGGTTTACCCTCGGTCGTCTCAGAAGGTCAATGACAGACTATGATCTGTTGTCTAATATTGGAGGTACCTGTCCCGCCACTCACCACCCATGACTTAAAGATAGAAGAAGCAAAGTCAGAAGAATAATACTATATCTTCTTAATTTACATATAAGTTTGTATACCTCCATATGGATTAAAAAATACCAACGTATATACGTGCATGATATACTGTAGATGGTTCGAAGCTTGACCTTCTCACAAAATTCTCATACTATTGCAAGGCATCAGCCCTTGACGACCTGGTTCCTGTTTCGCCAACTCATCCGTCTACCGAGTCATCGTCAGGACCCAAACTGGGCTCGAACGTTCGGGGAGAGTTTGACCGCCAGTGAAGTCTTCCATTTAAGTATAGTACCCGGGGAGTGGAACCCTCGAGTAAGTACTCTGTATGATAATCATCGTCGTTAGTATTATTTCATTTGCGTTTTTTATTATCCTCATTAATACCACGCATAGGAAGCAAGCGTTGGTAATTTGTACTCTCCTTCTCTTCCTTTCCTAATCTTCGTCATACAGAATACCCCCAGTAGCATTATTATTAAGGAGAGGGTCAAGGTAGCATAATGGACTGGCCGTTAAGCTGGAACCCGGGCCGGAAAATTCATAATTAAAATCAACTAGAATCAAATCATGGTACTCCGTAATAATAGTAAAATTAAATACTATTAATATTAACGGCTTCTCGAACCCACTGGCCCGTCAGAGTCGCCTCCTGTTAGCTCCCCCCATAACCTACCTACTTTACCTATTAGGTACTTTACTTACCTTGACCTTGCTTTAGTACTGTGTAGGATTATTACTGCTGAGCTTCTTATTTGCCATTCGGCACGCTGTTAGATCACCTGTCAGTGCGGACGATCTCCTTCTGCATCTCAAGCTGAAACATCTCTCGTCGGCTTTCTTTTTCCCATTTTTTTTCTCTTCCTTGCTTTCTTTTTCTTCCTTCTCTCAACATCTCCATCTCTGTTGACCATTCTTAGCTCTAGTCCCTTACTCATCCCTGTCGCTGACATCTGTCTGGTCCCAATATCAAACCTTCTTCATACCTAATATTCGACCCTCATCTATTGAATTTGCTATTTCCTATGAATGCTTCTCCTCGATATACCATTGGATGTTTCTCCTAGTATAGTTGAGAGCCTCTATTCGCTATACCCATCCCTCCGTTACACATTTTCATTTTTTGTTGGAGGGGGATTCCCAAGCAATCGGCAGTTGAACCTATAAAACACATCCTGCGCTCCGGTAGTGCGTGCCATCTACTTCCTCAGCTACTGTGTTGGGATACGCTCTCTCGGTATAAATCCTGGACCCCGAAGGGAGTAATCAGACAAGGTCCTACTGCCTCACCGTTAGTCTTACTTTGGAAATCCGCCTTGTGTTCCCTGCCCCCAACTATTGTTTCATTCGTTTGGGAAGCTCCGTCTAGCCGCAAGTGATCGTTCGAACCCAGCACATAAAACCACAGTGCACCTGGATACCAGATGCTCTTGCCCTCCTAGACTTAAACACTGAAAAGGAACGGAAAAAAAACCCCTCGTTGCGAATCGCGCATATGATTGCGTTACAAAACCAAGCTGTTCTGCCTCCCGCCAAAGTGGATATCTCACTGCTCTTGAAGCCCCAAGATGAGGAAGAGGCCGCCATACCGGTGACCACCAAGTCCACTTTTCCGTCAATCCCAATTCCTTCAGCTCCAATGCCTCCAGCAGTTTCTGTTATGGCCCCAGCATCGGCGCCTTCTATGCCTCTCACCAAAACCCCCTCATCGCTTCCCGCCAAACGTCTTCAACCAGCTCATACAGCGGAATCGCCGGCGAAAAAGCAGTCAAAGTGGTCTCCAGAGGAAGATGCCTTGATCATCGAGTTACGTGGCAGTGGCATGAAATGGGAGGACATTAGCAAACGACTTCCTGGACGAAGTGCTATTAGTTGCCGTCTCCACTATCAGAACTATTTAGAGCGTCGAAGTGAGTGGGATGAAGACAAGAAGAATAAGCTCGCCAGATTATACGAAAGGTACGCTGTAAAGTCTCAATACCTTAAACCTTGTGATATGGAGTTGGTTGCTAACTTCGACTGTAGATTCAAAGCGGAAATGTGGTCTAAAGTAGCTGAAGAAATGGCAATTCCATGGAGAGCCGCAGAAGCGATGCATTGGCAACTAGGAGAACAAGAAATGGCGCGTCGAGCAGGCGTAGTACCTTTTTCACTATCGAGTTCAGCCATTGACCCGCCGGCTCCTAGAACACGCAGAACTAGCACATCATTGTCACGACCAAGAAAAGGGTCGGCATCACGCTCTATTGCTCCACCACAGCTACCCTCCGTTGAAGAACTCACTGCAGGAGTTCCAGCATTTGCTCCGCCCCCACCCTTTCCACCTCCGAGAGATGCCTATCGAATAGGACGACCTCTAGATCTGACCGGCAGCCATAGTGGTCACTTGGGTCCCAATCTTGGCATTCCCCCCCGGACTTTGCCTTAGAGTGAAGGAGACGGTGTCACGGTGTCTATACCCCTTTCTCTCTCTTCTCTTTTTCTCTTCTCCTTTTCTCTTCTCCTTTTTCTCCTTTGCCTTTTCTAGGGCGGAGATGTCTCATCTCTCGTGCGTTGTAACGACTTGCATAGCGTTGGTTGAATATCTACCTTCGTTCGTGGGAAGTATGGTTGATATGTGCCTTCTTATTTTGTTCACAAATTTCATCATGGGAACTCTAAGTTTGACGACATTTTCTGATTAATTTGTTTCTCCTTTGTTATATATAGATGCCATGAAAGATCTCCGGAGCTGGATCTCGGAGCATGTGTTACGGGAGGGGGTTTTCTTTTCTTCTTTCTGTTCGTTTCATCGTGTTGCGATTGCCCACCAATTGTCTTTCTCATACCCGGATTCTAGGACACGACCACCTGCATCGTTTATGTCACGCTCTAGTTCTGTGGCCTCATAAAGATGGTAGTATCGATGGAAAACCTTTGACTGGTCACTTGAACTGTCCTTGGGATTGTTGTCCTTCATAACCCAAGGAACCATGACGTCCTGCTGGTCACCTTTATCCCAGCCCCTGCGGCTGGTTTTCTGCTCGAGTGCCCATGCATACAGTAGGGCTTTCCCTCCCGGGGCCTGCATTGTGGCAGGCTTCAATGTCCGCAGAATCTCGCGGATAGCTTGAATCCTACGACCCCGGGTTGATAGGTGATGCACCACCGCGATTGATATCGCAAAGTCGAAGAAGGAATCAGGGTGTGGCAGATTCAAAATATCAGCCATAATGGCCGTGTGTGGTTGATGTCTTGCGGCGATTCGGGCAAGATTCTCGGATCTGGCATTATTTAGTCAATCAAGCATGGAATATGCCAAACTGGTTGTTCAAGGATCTATGAATCGAGATGAGGGATATTTGAAATGGATTCGTTAGGGAGAGAAGCGCAGAGAAAAACGTGAGGGGTTATATGTAAATAAAGAAATATACAGAAAAAAAAGCCACATATATAAATCAACATTGCAAAAATATCATGCCTACCTGTCAGAAGCAACAATGAAGACATCTTGATTCACGGGTAGATACTTTCCATTGCCGCATCCCACATCTAGCCCGATAGATCCGGGGGTCAAATCTGTAAGGAACTGTTTCACGATTGGCCATGGCTAGTACAGAGATGTCAACGCAAAACCCTGAGATGTTAAAATTCTGAGCGATACGGCATACCTTGTAGCGAGTGGAGGAAAAATGACTTGCAATTTGCTGGTATACCTCGTGGACATGCTTTTCTTCGTACGCCTCTTGTTGCTTTTCAAGGGCAGAAGGTGACTGGTTAGATGATGCCATTCCTTCTGTACTGCTTTGTTATCTTGTGCCTTGTCTCAATGTTTGAGCTATACAAAACCCGTTCGGAATCCTGTTTCCTGTACAACAATATGTATGTATGAGAACCTTCCCCGATGTTTCAGTGCTGCGTAACCGTGAAGAGGTTTAAAATGTGAAGGAAAAGACAAAAGTGAAGTCTCAGACAAGACATATGGTACAATACCATACCCGACGTAATTAGATAGTCCCAAGGTCGCGCAGCGAAGTTGACGAAATGATAAGGTTTGCGATTATTATTTCCCGTTTATGTGGCTCGGAGAATATATGAATCAGCAGATCATACATTTTTCAAAATTAGGTATTAGTTTTGTGTCTTGAGTTCCCCGCTCTAATGTTACTATGTAATTTACTCCGTATAGAATTAACGCTTCTCTGCGTATTTATCGTTACCCAAAAAAGGCTGAACAATTAAATACCCAGTAAGGAATCCAAATCCAGTCCTGAATGGGGAACGCCCACCTAAGGTATTGAGACTTGCGTATGTATATGTATACTATACGTACTGTACCTAGGTACGGAGTTAGTAGGCTATGGAAGTATTGGATCATGGATGACCCAGCCGTACCTGGTAATGAAACTTAGCAATAACTATAACTCTATGACTGACTAATAAAACTACGTGCCGCTTGTACATATCTATCTTATCAGATATTCTTCCATTTGGAAATGGTTTTGATGCTAGCAAAAGCCGAACCCTCTTGCACATCCAAGCCTACTGCTATTCAACGAATGAATACACACGGTAATTAATGATGGCATTCCAACCCACTCCGACAGATGTTTCCGTCCTCATTACCACAACTACTACAAATGCCAATTCTGAGCCCCAGTTCGTCACCGAGCGTCGTATCACCCCAACATGGACTGTGATGCAATTGAAGTCAAAGTTGGAAACAATGACAGGAATACCACCCAGTAATCAGAAACTGAAATTAAAATCACCAGGACATCTCGATCAATGGGTTGAGGTTGATGAGAGCATTATTGGTGATTGGGGGGTTATGAAGGGCAGTGAGATTGAGGTATGGCTATAATGAGGGTCGCTTGAACCTTCGGTGAAGTCTTGCTTAAGCTGAACCTAACTAGGTCCATGATTCCCGCCCTCCTTCCGCACGGCCAAACTTCAATGATCTATCCTCGGTTGAGAAATATATCCTTCCTACATCTACCTACGAGTCCCTGCCCAATTCAGTACTAGCCTGGAAAAAGCACCAGAAACTCGGTCGGTTTGATCCAAATGCGTTGGGACCGGATGAAATGTTACGCAAGCAGGCAAAGAAAGATGCGGAGGATGTTGAGATTCGAGGTGAGAAACAAAGCAATCATATTATAGATAGATCGTCAAATTTCTAACACCCAGAAAACCATTTGTAGGTATTGCTGTCTCCAAACGTGCTATTATCCTCCCATCGTCTCCCCCACATGTCCGGCGAGGAATTGTTCGCTTTGTTGGGCCGGTGCCATCCATTCCCTATCCCGGGGTGGAAAACCAAAGCGCTAATTCCAGTGTTATGCCTATTTGGGTTGGAATCGAGCTTGATGAGCCTACTGGTAAGAATGATGGCAGTGTGGGCGGAAAGCGCTATTTTACTTGCCCAAACAAGGCCGGTATCTTCGTGAAACCCGAAAAGGTTGAGATAGGAGATTTTCCGCCTTTGGGACTAGACGATTTGGAGGATGAGACAATGGAGGAGATATGATCTTCGGTCCACCGTGGTAATCAAGGCGATGAGGATGTTTGCGTTGATTCGTATACAATTAATATCATTGTAGATGCGCCAGTGAAGCCCCACAGACAGAGCCTCTGTTCACACATGTTGCTAACAGAAAGAGAGAGGTAAAGAACAAAGTGAGAAAAGAACACCGACAGCCCAGTATTCATTCAACGGAATCGCTAAAATTAACAAGTTCGATGCCTATAAGAACACAAAAAGGTGGGGGAATACAATGTTACAGTCATATAAATAATAGACAATAACGATGGAAGAGTATAGGCAAGGGGCGTTGGTATCGTAAGAATAATCACCGTCAAGACCTTGCGTAGTATTTGAAAATAGTCACTAGGATGCTTTAGGGGCACTTGCCTTCTGCTTACCCTTGGGTCTGCCTTTACCAACACCAAACGTGCGCCCGAGCTGAGGAGTTGGTTCTTCTTCCATGGTATCATTTTTTGAAGCAGACCCAGGGACAGAACTGTTATCCTCCGTAGGAACACAGCCTTGCGTGAAGAACAGCCGGGCGTCCTTCCCATGCGTGTTTGCGAAGCTGTAGTAATTGCCTGGAAACAAAGTAAAGAGAATGATTAGGCGTCTCTAACGTGTAAATGAGCAAAATTCCGACATACCTCTAGGCACCTGGAACACGCAGCCTTTCCCAGCGCTAAATTGTACACCGGAGATGTCTACCTGGACTCGGCCGTGGCATACATAAAAGACCATGTGCATTTTCTTGGAGTTCTTCGGCTTCTTCACTCCTCCTCCTGGCAGTTCAACGATTCCAGAACCCAGAAAAGGAGAGCTGAGAAGTTTCGCAAACCGAAAACTTGAGCCTTTGACATCTCTCGTCTCGATACCGGAAGGCGCGTATGCAATATCTATGTGCCAAAGTCAGTATAGGTAATTGATATAGAGAAGCTAGGAATGAATCAAGTTGACTGTGGGGGAGCCGGCTCACCGAGGACCTCTTCCTCGTCCATCCCAGCTTGAGCTTCAGGATCCCATTTTCTGATATAACCATGCAAAACCCCCCCTTCCTTCTCCCAGGGATCAACGAAGTCTTCATCATCTTCCGATTCATTGTCGTCTTTGGTTTTTCCTGATTTCGACTTCTTTGAAGGTCTGCCCTTCTTGGATTTTCGTTTCCCCGGTTCAAGTTCTTCTGTACGAATGATCTCTTTGATGGTTGAGAGAGGATAGCGTTCCCCTTCGACAGCCTCACCATCACCATAGACACAGCGTTCGTTCTTCCAATACGCAAGAGGTCTGACAGACACACGCCCTGACCGTGTATGGGTGGCGCCGCTATCCATGGGTGTCTCCCGCTTGAGGATATACAAACTCCGTCCCTTTAAAGGCCCTGTGCGACTGACGTAATTCTCCACAACTCTATCCAACTCGGGGTGACCTGATGTATTTGATTCTCGCGACTTCTTATCGGAGGTCTTGGGTTTTTTGAACAGTCTCTGTCCCTCTGTATCATTACCAGTGCTGCGCTGGTTCTTTGGAGGCCTTCCGGGGCGTTTGCGCTTCTGCGATGTTTCTTGCTTCTTAGACTCATTCGGCTCTTCGGTTTGGCTTAATTCTCTTTGGACTCTCTTCTTTGTTTGAGGGCCAGCCTTGACCAGGCCTTTCTTGTGCAAGGTGGCAGCTATTGTTGACGGAGACTGCGCCGATGCGCCGTCATCATCCGGGCCCGATGTTTGGTTCTCTGCATTTGTGTCATTACCAACATCAAAACTGTCGGCAAAGTCGTGTTGTAATTCAAAAGTATCCGCATTGTCATCCTCGTTTAATTGGCTATTTGCATCGCTGTCCGAAAATGAAGCCGTTACTTCTGATGTCTTTTTGTTCACCTTATTTCGCGCACTGTTCAGGTGAGTCAAGGGAGGCGCATTGATAGAACGGTTGGTAAGAGGAGAAACCTCTTGTCGCAATTCTCCTTTCGTGCTACCTAAGCCCTTGCCATCTGAAGGACTAGAAGAAAGGAGATCTCGTCGTGGGCTTTGGGATGACCGTAAACCGGGAGTTCTCCGAGGGGACCCAGTCAAACCAGTCTTAATAGGCGAGCGTGCAACAGGTGGGGGAAAATAAGAATTCCGTCCGCCATTCATACCATTTAGAAAATATTCAGGATCTGGAGCGTTGCCTGTTCACCCGCGTTGAGGGTTAAATATCACGAGATGTTTATCAGAGAGCGGTCGTACGTACCTTCATCCATAGACATACCGTCCGAGCCCACCGAAGGTTCATTCTCATCGTTGAAACCGTTTTCTATTAGGGGAGACTTTTCTGGCGATGACCACATCCCATCAACGTCTTCCATTCCATGTTCATCGCGCTTGCCCTCCTTCACTGTGATTCCTGTGCGCCTGTGATCGTCCGCTCTGTTAGTCCTCGTTGCAGCATAAAGAGAAAATTGAGTCAGGGAAGTTTGGCAGAAAATCCTCACCGTCCAAGTTTACCGACATTGGAATAATCGTAATCGCGAGTTTTAGCGGCCCCCCGAGGCGCCATTCTTGTGGAGTTCCGGAAGTGAATGCGGGAATGGAGCTTATATGGGGGAGGCAAGGTTGCGAGAAGAACATAAGCGCGCACACACCCAGTATGTTAAAGTACTTAGCTTGAGGCGTCTTTGGGCATGCACCGTAAAAAACTACAAGCAACAAGGGGCGTTTCAACTGGGAGGAGGCGGGAAGTTAGTGAACATTGTGGAGGGGAATTGGAATTCAAGATAGGCGGCGACACGCGCAGAAGCGCCACTAGTCCGGAATGGTCTGGGACGCGTTTAGAGCACCACCTTGACAGCTTGCAGCAAGCTGTTTCCTTCACCTCACTAGGATATCTCTCTACTATTATTTACTTCTAGCCAACAGGGGCGTTTAGATTGACGCAAAACGGTATGGATGATACAACTCAGCGTCCCTCGTCTACCTTCCAAGACTCGCTCACTTCCGCGGGCACTTTTGTCCCGCCCAATATAAATCGCACCAAGTTGTATGCGGGAGATTCCTACTCCTACTACTCGCAATGTCCTCTTGCAATTACAGCCCTCCAACAAAATGCAAATACTGTCGAAGTCGATCCAACAACCATAAATATTTCCAGATCGAAAGAAACCCATCCGGAGAGCTATCTAGTTCTAGGCGTTGACGAGGCAGGCCGTGGCCCAGTCTTAGGTCCCATGGTATACAGCGCTTTCTACTTGCCTCATGACCTTCACCACTCCCTTCTTGCGCGCGATTACAGCTTCAACGACAGCAAGGTTCTAACACCTGGTGTCCGCGCCAATCTGATGCGATTGCTTTGCACTCCTGGGACTCCACTGTTCGAATCGTGTGGGTGGGCGACTAAACTTTTATCTGCAAGAGATATCTCATCAGGCATGATGCGTCCTAGTGTAGGAGTCTATAACTTAAACGCGCAAGCGATGGACGCTACTGTGGAGCTCATTCGAGGGATTGTCGAGGAACGCAAAGTCGACATTAGAGAGGTGTTTATTGATACAATAGGGAACCCGGCCACCTACCAGCAAAAGCTTGAGCGGATTTTTCCGTCACTGAAGATTACAGTGGCTAAAAAGGCCGACTCGCTGTATCCTTGTGTCAGCGCTGCGAGTGTTGCTGCCAAAGTGACCCGAGATATAGCCTTGGAACTCTGTCAGGAGGATGTATTAGAGGCCCAACGATCCGACACCCATTCGCAAGCGACTAATACCAACAGGTGGGGCAGCGGTTATCCCTCAGATTCGAAGTGTGTTAGCTGGCTCCGAAGGAACATGGATCCCATATTCGGATGGGGTAATGAATGCCGGTTCAGTTGGGGTACGGCAAAAGAAGTGCTTGAGATGAAGTCGGGGGTGAAGGTGGACTGGCCACTAGATCAAGAAAACGCGCAACTTCGAGAATTCTTTTTGACATCTGAGACTACCATTGGGGCCAATCAAGAGTTGCGAGATTGGTTTGGTCAAAAAACGGCAGAGGTTCTTTAAGCAGAGATATTAAACTCTATATTGAAAACGTGATAGCGACTCGTGATACCCCCCAGCATGTACAATTATCAAATCCTACCTCTGCAACTGGATAGTGTAAACTGAAAGGCATTCGGATAGAAAACTAGGATATGAGGAGAAAGGGGATTATTAACATAAAACAAACCAAACCGAAAAATAAAGAAAAAAGGCCAGGATTCCATTGGGTATCTAAATCAGTTCACACTTTGAAACATACTAGCTCCAGGACGAGTTAGCGGAGGAGTTGGTGTACAAGTAGGTGCTAGGTTGAGGAAAGAAGGAATTAAATGCTCCATCTCACAAAGTCGCTGTTGCAAAGTAGTAATTGTCCCATAGATATTCGTAATCTTCGATGACACTCCCCACCAAGTCAAGTAGTGGTTTGCCTTTCATCTTTCCGGTTAATCCTTTCAACCATGACCTGTTTAGTGTCAGTATAACATGACCTTGAATAGTTATGGTAACAGGTTCCCATACCTGGTCATGTGTTCATAAAAAGCACCCCTCATAAACCACCAGCCCATAGCCCATCCCCTCTTTCTCAATTCCTCACGCTCAAGGCCTGTGAGTCCTCGAAGGCCGCCAGCAAGTCTTTCCCGGAAATCGGCTTTAGCAAGTTGTCGACAACCATACTCCATGCCAAATCCAATGAGCCAAGGCCTCCAGCTTCGTTTATTACTATGCCATCTTTGCATTGCAAGTGCATAGGCCACTGGCCGCAGAATATATAATAGTTCTGCTAGCTGGCCTTGACCAGTAACTCTATGCAAGAGTGCCTTGGGGGGCTTGATATCATCCGCTGTAAGAACCTTTGATATTAGGAAACTCGAGACATCGTTCACATCCGGAAGGGAGGGAAGTGACAGTCCCGTACGAGGCATAGTCCAGCTCAGGTCGGAAGACCGCTCGCTCACCGGTGTATGCATCCCATTCCAATCACTTTCCTCTTCTTCGGCCGATCTGGGATCAACATCGCGCTCTGGCAATGGAGGACTGACTAGCGGCCTAGAGTTCGTCAGGCGTAGCAGAAACAAGCGGCATATTGCCTTGATGGCCTCGATGAGTACAACAATTCGCCAGCGAACTTTCTCGCCCCGACGACGCGCGACCATTTCCCATAGTAGTTCTGTATATTGAACCATTTGAAGAGTGAGGGCGACCTTATGGTAAAGCGAAGAGTGGGATGTCCAGTACTTTGTATACCGGGAATGTGGAGTGGGCGTCAGACGAGGGATGGTCAATGGAAGTCTAGAGATGACACGAGAAACAAGAGAATCGTGATACAATGAAAGGAGTTGTACGCAAGTATGCACTGGAAGACGACTGTCAGAACTTTTACTTGGTTTTGGAGCTGGCTTTGAACACACCACATTCTGACGAAATCTCCGAGTCTCTATATCGTCCTGCATTGGCATGTTTATTAACTTCAATTACTTATACACACGTATAGATAGGTAGCTCTGGATCATACCCGGGATTATATATGTTAGAGACCTCAGCGCGGACTCTACTTGGCCAACGGAACTGGCGTTCTTAGTCACAAATTCCTCGTACAATGATAGCCATTTAGACGGTCGCAAAAGCATCCAGGGAGCTGGTCCCTTCTGATTGCACACGGGATCCATAAGAAAAGGAATATTGTATGCTGCAAAGGACGCAGCCCAGTAGATGGGAAAATGAGGGATGAAATCAAGCAAAGGAACGGACGAGATGGGGCAGTATCAGCACGTGGCCCGCGCATACCAAGTAATATTTGCCGAGGTCCCGTAAGTACAAGGCAATTACTACATCCAGATAATTATTCTTGCTATTTGTTCAAACAACAGTTTGCTTAGCTGGTGTGTATTGTAATGTCCTTGTCTAGATGCCATGGATCTATTTGTTTCCTATTAGTTAGACTGATATTATATGTAATGTAGAGGATTACTCCAGCGACAGTCTGGTCCTACTACAACACAGCTCTATTACCTGTTTAGAAGAAAGGGATACTCCCGTACTCCGTAGATCCCGCATGATTGTAACTCAACAATCTAAGTAAAGACTGATATACTAAGTCAGAAATTCTACAATATTTACTATTTCAGACTATCAAAATCTTGAATTCTGATGTTCTTTTTCTGATGAATAAATATTGTATTATATCTGTAGCAGTGTAGAGTATACAGCTACATATCCTTTTGACCTATAGAGTACTCAACAGAATATAGAACTTTAAAAAGTTTGAAGCACGGTTTATTCTATTTATTATTAGGACCGAGCAGGAGGTACCTAAACAAGTTACTATATAATACGTGGCACTTCAGCAATTAGCGTTCCCTTCAAGCTCCAAACAAGTCTCCAATGTTTGCACAATGCCTCATAATCTTCCAGAACCATACTGTAGTTATCACGATCACAACTTAGATGTATATAATGAGCCGGATTTCATAAGGGCCTGGCCTCAACATGGGCTCACTCATCCGCATATTTCCAGAGGCCACCCGGACGCATTGCTTCTCTATACCTCTCCTTCACCTTCTCTCTTTCAAGCGATCTCGCTTCCTCGCGGTCAAGTTCTAGCTCTTGTGTGTTAGGCATATCCGTGCGCCAGAAACCTGGAGGTGTAGCCGGGCGTTGATGATGATTTCTATGTTTCCCAAAGCGGTCGGCGATTAATCTTGCTTTCGCCTCGGTGAGGAGGTCCTGGCGTCCCTTCCCCGTCAATTCTTCAAGCAGGTATATTTCTTCCCCCAAATACTCCTCTAGAATTCTTTGCTCTTCATGTGAAGAGACTGTAGGGTCAGTCCGTAGGCCACCAAGGCGTGCCATGGCCAAGAACTTTTCTCCACAGCATTCAGGACGCGTACACCCCCTAATGCACTTGCGTTTATCTCTGTTGCGGACAACCGCATCAAATGCATACTCAAGTCCTTCGTTACAGTCTGGGTTAATCCTGAAATGGCTAAGCTCGAGTCGGTGTAGTGGCCGGGCTCTGTAGGGTTCTTCCTCCGGGTGCATTTCCATCGGATCACGGTCGACTACCTCGGAAGCGGGCGCACCTGTCGATCCCTGTTGCTTACTCGGTTGTTTGCTTGCCCGCGTGGAATCCGGTATTGCAGCTAGATCACCAATTAAACAGGGGTTGTTTTCTGTCAACGCTGGTTGATTGACGTCAAATCTGTGCTTTTTGTAACTTTTGGAGTCCCTCACGGTTTCCGTATCCTTCTGTGGCCGTAGCGGCTGCTTAGGGGACAGCGGTTCCTCCAGCAGGTGTTCCAACCGAGTTGAGACATCTTGGGTATTTAGGGCTGCTGGCAGAGAAGCAACTTCGGTGTTCCATGGTGTTTTTCTTGTATGCGCCGCTGAATATACTTGTTCACCATCTTCCGCTATAGATGATATAGCATGATTAGCCGCCCTCCTGAGGACTATTGATGATCCTTTTTCAGGCCATCGAGCAGTATCATGCATAAATCTGGTGTTATTATCCGCTGGCTGGAGTACCACGGAATTATTCAAAAACCTCTGGCCCGACGCAAGGCGCTGAAAGTCATGATCTTGAGCTCGAGTTGATGAAGAATGATTAGTAGTCGAAGGACGTATTTGGTTGTTTGGATTTCTATTGATATCCATTTCCCTTGTCGGTGTTTCAATTGCTGTACTATGTTGGGGAAAGCTTCGTATGGGACCAGAGGACATGCTTTGGCTTTTTACAGCAATGTCCTGGTTTGATCCCCCTTTTTCCAAGCTACTATGGCTGGCTGAGTCTCCGGGTTCGGATAATAGCCCGCGCTTTCTCTTTAATGCCCGGTGTTGCTGGGTGGACGTATCGGTTTCTTCAGGGCTGCAAGAGGGATCAAACTGAGTCGAAGATGCTGCTAAAGACTCAGTTTGGAATTGATTTTTGGGGCTCTTCTTTGGTCCTTTAATTTGCTCGCTAATGCCAGGCGGACAGACTTCATCCAGCTCAGACGTGACAGTAGTAGACATCGACTCTACTGTTGGCGAGTGGTTCTGGTTTTCACTTGTCATACTCTTTACCCGTTGGAATTTGACAGCGACACCGTTTAACACCAGCGTGAACTCATCACGCTCAAGGCATGTCCTCCAATGTTCCAATTTTCTCTTGTGACGCATGATCTGCCTTCTGAGCCCTTTATAAGCTTTTACCAGTGTTTGAGCGTCTCCGTATAGTGCAACATATTTCTCGTTGATGACCTTCGCCTCCTTCGTACCGTATCTCGAGGAAAAGGGATTATTGTCACTAGGCAGATTCAAAATCCGCTGTGGTGCATATGTTTCCTCCAACTGAGGCTCGCTCACGGGAGCTTCAGCGTCTTCCAAGCTGATGTCACCCCGGCTTATTTCTTTTCGTAGATGAATCACCTTAACTTTCAGTTGCTCAATTTCAGTCAAGGCTTGGCTCCGAGCATCTTCCGCAACTTTGAGTCTTCCTTCGGCCGCCGCGACTTTCGCGTCGTGCAGGACGAGTAAATCATTAAAATCGCTGTATGCATTGTTGAACGAACTCTCAAGGCTTTGAGTCACAGAGGCATGAAATTTATTTAAAATATCCATGAATAAAAGAGGTGGCCCTCGCAGATACTTCCTTCAAAGATTGGGGAACGCGACAAATGCGCCGTGAAGTATTCATTCAGACATCTCACATCATACCTGTCCACTTATCTGGTTGATAGGTAGTAGGTGGATTTCCGCCAAGCCTGTCCTGCCTAGGGATGCTAAATTATTGACCAACAATTCACCGCCTGGCGATTACAGCCTATTATGGCCACTCCGCAAGAATCAAAATCATCAAATCATCAATTTTACCATAGAAATTAAAGCTTTATTAGCAACAATAGTAGAATAATGGTCTATTAATTTATAGAAAATAAGACTATCTCTACTATATCTATTATATTATGTCTATAGCTAGTCTTAAATAGTTCTATAAGGTACTATTTTAGAAGACTAAAACGATCACCTATACTTAATTACTTTACTCAGAATCATAGTTTTCGTGACCCCGGAATATTAACAGTATAGGAATTAGTTAGCTGTAAAGGCCTATATTCTCTAATTCTATCTATAATCTTGCGCGTTGGGAGGGGAGGTACTCTTATTTATTTAATTCGTTCCTTAATCCTCTTCGCGGATATTGGGGGGACTCTAACCCCCTACGCTCGAGGGCGCCGGAATATAGTAAAATAACAGTAGTATACAAAGATATAGAAAAGTAAATAAGGTGGAAATATAGTATTAAGAATCTATAACTACATGGTAGATAGGGTGTCAAACTAATAGTAAATTCGGTGATTTGATGATTTCGATTTTTGCGGAGTGGCCGCAATAGGCTGCCGTAGGTGGTACTACTGTAGTACTATCTAGTACTCTGTATGGAGTAGTAGCTTAGAGTTATCCGAAGGCGGTGTATTGTATAGTATTCCGGAACAAGAATTATCTAATAATCCGAGAAATCTAGTGCTATATGATTGGTACAGCTTTATCCAGACCTGGGCTTGGCGTCCTTATCAGTACTCGCGGCCTCTACTTCTACTACTACTAGGTACTCAGTCCCTCAACAGACTAACATTCCGTATGCGCATGCGCTTTATCTTATAATTATCCCCCTATTATTAGCAGCATGTCAAAAAGATGTGATATTAAGGATATTGATGATGATGCAATATATCCAATGCCCAAACGCTGTTGTCTATCTCAAGCCTATGACACCGATTATCTTTCATCCTTAAGCGACGAAGTGTTATTACACGTACTATCTTTTCTATCCGTACCATCCTTGCTTTTATGTCAGAGGTAGGTTTATTCAGAAAGGGGTTTGGCTCACAAATCGCTAATTTGCTGGTCTCCATTCAGTGTGTCCCGTCGCTTCCATGATCTAGCCGGAGACTCGGAGCTATGGAAGCGACAATACTACTTTCGTTGGGTACGGCCTCGAGTGCGTCGTTTAGGTGTGAGACATGCCACTCCTCATTTTCCACATATTGGGTACTCGCCCAAAGTGTCTACATGGCTCGACCACGGTCATCTAGCGAAAGAAGGCAAAGTTACAAACTGGAAAAGACAGTATCGTCTTAGGCACAACTGGTCTAAGGGTATCTGCCGTGTCACTGCAGTCGAGCTATCCCAACCCCCAAAACCGCCTGTGTTGGTCAAGTTTTGCGCTGGGCTTATTTTTACAGCAGACTCCGGCCATGGACTTAGGGCTTGGCACGCGGACAATCCAGAATCATGTTCAGCAAATGTACCGTTCACGGGCTCCGAGTCACAAGCGCCTATGGTGCCGACCTCATTGACAGCATCATACTGTCCACAGCAAGGTGTGGTGAGGATAGCCGTCGGATTTGAGAGCGGTTGTTTCAGCGTATATAATATGGATACTGGAGCTTTGCGATTGGAGTTACGGTTTACTCATTCTAGCTCCGCCGACGGGGCAATAATCGGGATGGCTTCTTCGTTCCCTTATGTTCTAATGGTTTCTCGACGCAATGCGTTATCATTATTTATGGTTTCATCCATGAACGAGAACTCGGATCAGGCCCCTAGTGAGTTGACAGAGGAGGCCTATCTCCTTACAACTCTCAAAGCTGAGAGCATACTGGGACCAATGTCATTATCTGTGCGAATTGCAGGCTCAGAAATCATATCGTCCATAGTGTACAGTTTTTACCACACCGGATGTGGTTGGTCAGTAGGGATCCAAGAACTGCACTTCGATGAAGGTGGTCAGCAGATCAATTCACGACTCACGACTACGGTGGACTGTCAGTACGGTATAGCACCTTCTCACTTTTCTAGCCGAGCAACTAGGCAGAACCGACCCTCATCGAATGGAGACCTGTACGGATGGCATACCGAACCATCGATATTACATCGAGAACCGCCAACCTCGATCTCCTATTCACATCCATACCTCTTGACTTCTCATGCAGACAACACTTTGACTGTGTATCTTGTTGTTTCAACAGCGGCGAGACTCTATGTCAAAGGAGGCCAGAGACTCTGGGGCCACACTTCATCAGTTTCGGCCGTACAAGTCGGCGATCGTGGTAAAGCGGTGTCTGTTAGTTCACGTGGCGATGAAATTAGAATATGGGAACTTGAACCTTTGATCTCCCATTTTGGAACGCAGAAGACGTTGGAGGAAAATAGCATCCAAGTTAGCCCCGAAAACAAGCAATATCGGAAGTATGAAGCATTTGGTGTGTTATCTAGAGTTCCTCGTTACGAAGTTGGTGGGAGTCAGTTCCACTCTCTAGAAAAGTCTTGCGGGTTGGATCAAAGCCACGGCAGCGTTGAATTTGATGACAAGCGTGTGCTTCTGCTTCGCGAGAGGAAAATCGGAAACCAGCTACTTGAATTTTACGACTTCACATGAATTTTATTTTATATACACCGAGTAGAGAGGCAGGAGAAGAGTGACAGGTGCATCATCCCAAATCCAAAAAAAAAAAAAAAAAAAAAAAAAAATTCAAGGAAGCGGTACTCTAGCCTAAGCGGGGTCTTCGTGATTTCTGTTGACAGCATAACCCGTTAAACATTCTCAGTGTCAGACCTTAAGGACCTTGGCGGATGGGAGGGGTTCCTCTGTATTTCACTGCGTGCATTACCCAAGGTTAATTGGGATATTTGCTTGCCCTCGTGGTCATCTGAAAAGAATTTCATAATTCTTCAGTGCTCCTCGTGTGGTCTTGATCATCTTCAGTTTCCTACTTATACATCTTCGCTATATCAGATTGGTGTTCTATCATAGTGCAAATCAGCTTCTATTCAGCCATTCGCTTTACTTTGAGATGGCTGGACAGAGGACAACAAAAGAACTGATAAGGGGTTAGTACAAATGATTTGCTACAAAATTTGTCTGAGGTGTTCTCTAACCCTGTCTCCTAGCCAGCAGGTCTGGCGACCTTTGTGGCTCCTAATGAACACATCAACCGCATATTTCACCCACTCCCTCTCTCTCTATATTCATTGCTCTACTATTTTCATAACCCAAGTGTAGGAGCTAAGAAGAGTAGGTGGGCGGGTTTTGAATGAAGGAGACGTTGAATGGATGTGCCGTCTGGTACCGCAAAGACCAGACTAACTAAAAAGAATAAGAGCTCTGTAGGAACCACACGGGAAGCGAGTAAATTTAATTTACTTGATTAATTCACTTTATTCCCCGCGTACCGCCTTGAACATATTATCTGCATTAATTTTTCATCAATCAACCAATCTCTATCATTGTGGTTGTCTCTCGAAAATTTTCAGATCTCTCCATAACTATTTGCTACTATTCAATCTGTCCATTTCATATCTACCTCAATTATCTACCGGATTCAATCAACATGAGTTTCCAAGCTGGAGCTCGTGGATGCTTCAACTGTGAGTGGATTTTCTTTTTCTTTTTCTCTTTTTTACTATAGCGGCCTCGATTCTTTAACAGTCGCTACGATTTTGACATCCAGCTTTTGTGTCCTCACCTTGCGATCCAGGCCAAAAGGTTTCCCTCGACCCCCGCTCTGCACATCATGATGCTTTTTTTATAAATTCGGTGCTTTGTTCTGATTTGAATGGTTGTCCATTGAAAAAAGTATATCCACAGAAAATGTTCCATCCTAGACATTTGTGTGTGGAACTGCAGAAAATCGATGTCTTCCTTTTCGGACGACCGAGAAATTGAGCTAACATTTTCTATACCACAGGTGGCGAGGGTTCTCATCAGGTAATATCTCTCTAGCTTACTATTAAAAAGAACATCAATTGTGTGCCTTTTTATGTGCTTTTATTGAAATCAAATACTCACAAAGCCGGACTTTTAGGCCCGTGATTGTCCAAAGAAGGGCACCCCAACTTGGTATAGTATACACCTTGATGCTTCTGCTATAGTTCACCATTACTGACTATCGAAGTACAGCTACAACTGTGGTGGTACGTTATACCTTAGCAATTTTCTCTTTATTTGATCGGGAGTCATCACAAAACCCATCATATTATCTTGTATTAGTATCCTCTTGTCTAACAGATTAAAACTGGATTGCAGGTCAGGGACATGTTAGTAAGTGGACTCGACCCCTTGATAATAATAAGTGCAGCTCACCTAACAACTACTTCTTTCCTAGGCCGTGAATGCACAGTAGCTCCTAAGGAGAAGTCCTGCTACCGTTGCAGCGGTGTTGGTCATATTTCCCGTGAATGCCCTCAGGCAGCCTCCGGCGATAGCTACAGCGGTGCTACTAGTGGCCAGGAATGTTATAAGTGCGGCCGGGTCGGCCACATTGCACGGAACTGTCCTCAGGGCGGCAGCTACGGAGGTGGATTTGGTGGCCGTCAACAGACCTGCTACTCCTGCGGTGGCTTCGGTCACATGGCTCGTGACTGCACCCATGGTCAGAAGTGCTACAACTGTACGTGGTTCTTTACTATCTCTACTGCTTGTGTTTGTACTGATAGCATAAATGTAGGTGGAGAGGTCGGACATGTTTCTCGGGACTGTCCCACTGAAGCTAAGGGTGAACGGGTTTGCTACAACTGCAAGCAACCTGGCCACGTTCAAGCTGCCTGCCCTAACTAGGTCGGTATCCAATTTGGGTCATTCGTCTATTCTGTCGTACCAGTATATACACGAGATCAGGGTTTGTAGGCGTTCTCGTGGATCGAAGCCATGCTCTTCGAAACTATTCGAACATCCGTCTTGCCGCTCTGTTGTGTAGCCAAATCAAGGCTTGGCTCACAACTCTGGCCTTGATGGCTTTTGCCCGTCCCACGAGCTGATCTTCATGGATACTTGCGTTCCATGACATCGCACCCGCTGTTATTGTCCTCTGTTTTTGAATGTGGACAGTGGTTACTTTTACAGTACAATGGCAGGTGGTCAGGGGGGCAAATATGATTCCATTCTTTTGTGTAATGCGGATGACTGCAAGAAAAATAAATTCATTCATAACATCACGCGGCTACTGAAAGTAATCTTGACACCATCTAACCCTTTAGTGACGGTTTCCTCGAATTGCCCCTCGCCTTCATCAGATTTGTATACAGTGCTGCAAAAACTAGAATACTGATCAACTACCATTAGTGACATAAGGCTACAGCACGTTCAGTCTCTCCCCCTACTTTCTTACCTATTCTTTGTACACCGCTACTGGGGTTATATACAGATATACTATTCGCGAATGAGGGGGAGAAGAATTGTAATTGAGTAATTGTCGAGGTTGTTTAAATCGTCTTAGGAACTGCAGCTGCACATCATGGCTCGCTTGTATCGTGGAACGTCTCCACAGAAGCGTTCTTCCTCTTCTTTGTTCCAGCCCCATTCATCCTGGAAGGGATTCAGGGCCATTTGCATCACGCGGCTAAGGATTTCTCGATCTCCCAGCCGCTCTACTCGCTCAATAACTTCGTCTAGTACCCATCCGCGAGGTACGAACTATTTTATCGATGCTGTTAGAAATCCAAATCTGGTGTCGTCGAAGAAATTACAAAACTCACCTTCGGGTTCACCTCTTTCATAGCTTTCTGCCGATCTACATCATTTCCATGCCCCCAATCCTCAAGAACTCGCAGTCTCCAGCGCTCAAGCCAATTTCCGATGCGCTCCTTTGCGGAATCTTCTGTATATCCGACCCCACCATACCCTTCGTTATGAAAAAAAATTGGCGCGACTTCTTTCCGTTTTACGTCGGTGTCGAGGTCAGTGAGCGGTATGTGAGAAAGCCGCCTGAAAAAATGATTGAAATCAAGCTCTAAGGCCTCTAGCGTGTCAAGCATTTCTGAAAAAAGACCCTGAAAGTCCGACTCCTTCTGGGTCTTTAGTCCAAGTCTTCTGGCCATCAACCGCTTGTATTCACTCAAAAATACCACCCTATACTCTTCGCCCGTGCGTTCGATAATATCCTCAGCATGTTTGACGACGAGAGGAGCAGCATCGTCGGTTAACCCTTCTTTCACAAAGCTTTCTTCATCAACTTTGTCTCCGACCCCCATTAGCTCTCCTAAAGACTCTCCTAGCCTGACTAGGTTCCACCATATAATTGTTGGCTGGTTTTTGTACGAGTACCTCAGCAAATGGTCATCATGGTTTGGTGTGTAGTGAGGATCGAAATTATCCATGAAAGCGAACGGGCCAAAATCAATCGACAAACCATATATTGATGTGTTGTCGGTGTTCAACACGCCATTCATGAAGCCGTAAGATTGCCAGGCAGCCACAGTCCTTGCATTTCGTCGTGCGATCTCTCTGTACAGCCTCGCAAACCGGTTCTCTCCCACCCCCTGATGCTTTTGAATTTCGTTCCACGGGACTCCTCTTCCTGGATTCTCAATAGCATCGATGAGCTGATTTTCACCCAACGATACTGCGGCAGGCAAAGCATCCCAACCGTGGAACACATCTTCAGCTACAAAGGTAGCCAGTTGTCTGATTAAATCCCTGTCACCGCGAGCGCGCAGAAGGTCGAACGTTCCTATTCTCAACCACGATTCGGCAAACCGGGCCACTATTGCCCCAGGTTCAATGCGCTCGCGTAAAACCTTGGATTCAGGTAGTAGGGTAATCGACAAGGCTCGAGTAGTTGGCACGCTAAGTGCATAAAGGGCTATACGGTGTGCTTGTTATTAGCTAAGCCTATGGCATTACATGGCTAATGGCCCTGTACCTTCCGACACGACAAATTCGCGAATGCTAGATCGCAGGACTGCTTTTCCATCTGCGAAGCGTGAGTAGGGGGTCCTTCCAGCCCCTTTGAGCTGTAGTTCATATCGAATGTTCGTTTTCGGGTTGGTGCACTCGAATAGGCTTATAGCACGCTGCTCAAAGTCAGTTCAGGTCTACGGCAATCTCTAGGAACAAAGCTTACCCCATCTCCAAGCTGCCCAGCCCATGAGCCGCTGTGATATGTCAATTTCTCCACCCTAGTATAGGTTCACAAAGGGCACATACAATTGCCATCCTTCACATTGTTAACTATGGACAGCGAAAGACCTCAATGAATGGGTTTACATTACCTCCGTAGCATTGCGCCCATGGGTAGATGCCTCCGTTTTCTTCGTCCCAAAAAAAAAGATTTCCAGAGACTAATGCTTTGAATTGAGGGGTGACCTCTTCACCTGGCTCGAGTCCCAGATCTTCCATTGCTTTGGGACTGACACCCAGAAGCTCCATTTTCTTGGCTGGTTCGGGACGAACAAAGGTGTACAGAGCGCCACTCACCAAGCGAGGGCCAAGAGCTTGCCTCGGGGCTCCATGGGAGATCTCGGGTGTCTCGAAGGCAGGGTCTGGTGGCAGCTTGGCTGTAAATGTATTGGATTTTGGGAGCCTCGCCAGTGAAACCCCCTTCGTACAGTCTGATGATTGAGTATCCATGTGAACCGACCGAATTCTTACAGCTTGTATCTGATGCAGGGTATTGCGAAAAGACAGGCAAAGATGAGGGCGGTTTACAAAGGGACGTAGCGCAACAAGAACCATGAGGGTCTCTCACAAGGCAACGGCTGAGAAGGCAGATGATTAGAGGCAAATTGCCTGGGAATCAGTCGAAACAGACTCGTAATGATAGCAAAGGACTCGTTCTATGATTGTGGGAAAAACTAGATGTACGACTGTGTGTTTTGGAAGGATCAAATAAAATCAAGCGGAGGAGAGGAGGGGGTGACATCATTTCCGCTCCGAACCTATCGATAAATATAAATTTCATGGAAGAAAGGCGGCGAAAAGGCAAAGAAACTATATATATATATGCACAGCGCCATTCATTTTAACTTAAATCCAATGTATACTGTAACTAACTACACTGACTTGTATGCGATCTTTAGCAGTCTATATATAGTCATGAGCTCATTCTATCTCATTCGTCTTGCTTTGCCAATTTCAGACTAAGGCCAACACCTGGTAGGTCGCTAGGAGTATCCAATATCCAGAGGGAACCACCTTGAAGCCATTCCGAAAGCAGCTAAAATGATGAAGTAGCGAAGAGTCCCATCTCACCAGCTACCTACGAGCCTTTGTCCTTCCAGCTGACATGTAAAGAGGTAGAGATTATCCCTGGAGTTGGTGAATGTGAACAGAAGCATTCCAGGGCTTTCTGGAAAGAAATACTCTCTGCCAGTTGATCGGATTGTGGGAAAGAAAGTCAAAAAATTGCTCTTGTTGATTCCTGTCAAAGCATTCCCTGATAGGCACCCGAGTGGGATCAGGAAGATCTAGTGAATATACATGTGTACATATGTACATGCGGATAGTAGTACAGCATGTATACATATTCTATAAAGTCAGTAGTAATTGCGTATTGCCAAGCGTCTCCGCTTCGGCTCCAGTCCGAGTCCCGAATGGTTTACCTCTCCATCTTTATGAGGAAGTTCTTGCCTCTACCTATACATTCTCCCGTCCTGGTCTTCGGCCCCTTTCTTTTTGCTATCTATCCATCTTTCTTTCTTCTCCTCTTCTTCCTCTATCTTCGACCTCGACCTCCTCACTACCCCCTTGAAATTGCCCTACATCATTCCAGCTCCTCTCCATTGGGCGCCCACGAACATACATTCAACGACAGAAAGGGCCCTCCGTCCATATGGCCTCGTTCTGGCATCCACCGCCTGCCTGTCGCCAGTTTCCATTTTCGTGAAGACCGCGGGCTTAATCACTGGCTTTGTCCATTTGAAGGGTCTCGCTCATTGTATAAATATACTTTATTTGGAATGATTAACATTGGTTCGGCTCCTGGGATTGTAAACCTCGACAATCGCCCTTGCGTGTTTCGTGTGGCCGACCAACTTCGGCAAGCGTTTATTTAGTGACCAACATTATCTTCAAAGCCCAAGCGGTGTGACACAAGGCTGAAAGGCAAGCGAGATCTAGCCGCTTCCATCGTATGTCTGTACTCATACAAGTTTGTCGACGACGAGCCTTGTAGAGGGAGCGCAGACTGGGCTAATTTGCAAGGCGATCGCTGTGATGCTCTTATTACTATCTTAACGTCATATTATCGTGCAACGAAACCATATGAGCTCCGCTAACCTGGAAACCTCAGCAAAAAGAAGACGGAAGTAACAGGATAGTGTTTTCTAGCATTCGACTACCGCAACATACTTTTCGCTACGGTTGTCAATCATCTTATACTCGTTCGGTCAACGGGGTGCAATGTCGGTGAACTGGCCCTCTCGCTCCACGGACGATGATATAAGAACCACTAAGATTCCCAGTAACCGGGCATCTACGTCGGAGCAGCATCCGATCGATCGACGACTAAAAGGTCTTAAGGAAGACATCCTTCCTCTTTATCCTTTTCTCCTAACTGTGCCCACCGATGTGCCTTTTCGCCTTGGTGGCCGCTTTGTCAATAATTGGGCTGTGGGTAATGACGGGCCGTTCGCTCCAGAAGAGCACCAACTTCAGTATATGACCTTCTTAACTCATCACGAAGGAGATTCTTTACTAGTGGCTGTTGGTGATTGGTCAGACGGGACTGGAAACGTCATGTCCGACCAGCGCTCCGGGCTTCAAGGTGCAGCAGGCACTGCATGGAATGGGTCTCTCAAAAAGAAGATCAGCCTGAACGATTATAAGAATAAAAGAAAGACAGGAGCCTCACCTCCACATTTCGGCCAGGAAGCTTCCAGCCAACAAGACTCTGCACTTGACGACAGCCGACGAGGCCCCAAAGCCAGCCCTGCTGGAGATAATCCACAGAGGTTCTCGGATAAAGTCACGAATTCACACATATCTACCCGACCTGATTCTGAAACCCTAGAACGGAAGCGCGCTCCCGAGACTGAGTCAGAGCGGGCCGAATTGCAGGAAAAGAAGAGTTCCGAAATAGGCGTCTCGAAGAGGCCGAAACTCTCTCCCGAAGCGGCAGCAGAGCTCAATAAGTCTGGGCGCACGAAATCCAATGGTCTTCCAACTCTCTTATCGCCCACACTTCCACCAACTTCAAGCAGCCCTAAACTACCTAGGCTCTTATCGCCAACCCTCCCGCCAGATATAGAGAAAGAGCTCGCCAAACTCGGTGAGGATGCATTTGTTTTAGACTCTTCACGGGCGAAAAATGCCCCTACTAGTGATATGCTGAGGGCCAAATCTCACAAAGCAAAATGCTCCGATTACGGCACGTCATACAAAGATTCAAGTCCCGCCATTAGCCGTCAGGGTTCGCGAAGCAAACACCTAAGCCCCATGTCTGATAAGCGTCCATCTGCTACTCAAGACCCTATGAATCCTTGTTTAGGCGGAATTTCCACGTCCGGTTCACGATACCAACCAGATGACAAGCTAAATAGCTATGAGAGATTAGCGAAACCGCAACTACTGATAAAGCTCAAGTATGGCAGGGCGAATAGGAAGCGTGTCGAGGGTCTCCTTAAATTTTCTGGGAAAAGAAAAGCGGTGCCTCCAAGTTCACCTGTGAAGAATCCAGCCGATCTCGAATCAAATACGAGCAAGAAACTCACTGAAAATGTGCCAAAGGCTACGACGTCTGATAACTCCCCTTTTAGGCTTTACCGGTCTGAAGGGAAATTAAAACACGTTCTGAGCAGCCAAGTGCCTAGGGTTGCAGGCTCAGAAAAGCCTCGAACCCCCGTGTCTTCCATTCCTGGTGCTATGGCATATGGCCAGGAGAAGACCAAACATGCCTTAGCCACAACTGTTAAAGATGTTAAAGACTCTAGTCATCGCTCAGAATCTGTGAGCAATGAAGGCAGAGCATCCTCTCAGCAAACTATCAAATGTCCGTCAGGGGATTCGGCCATAGCTGTAAAACCATCTCTGGCACAAGTAAGCCATCAGCCAGGCGCGTCACGCAATGGTGAGCGCCGAGCTTGGAAAGACGAATATCAGAAATACGGGAATCTAGGCCGGGAGTTAAAGCATGCCGCGGAGCGGCACACTGCCAGGGATTGCGTGACTGATGTCGACGAGAAGCTTGCGGCTGCTACTGCAATTGAAGCTATCCTCTGCTTCATTCTAGCCTTTGTTGCTGATGATCAATCTAAGATGCTGTCTCGTCAGATCAGCGACTCGTCATCTTGGCTATCTATACTCGCTTATTGGCGCGTGGTCAAAAAGAATAGCGCCCCCTTCCCTCGACTTCACAGCCTTTGTTTGATTCTTGGCGCTACATCTTATGATGCTATTCATGCGCTTGATTTAGAGAGGCTTGCGGTCACCCCTTTACCGGGGGAGCAAACCCCTGCACTAACACTAGGTAGTGATGCAAATACTGTTCTATTCGATGAAAACAAAAAGAATCGCAAGGAAATCCTGGAGTTGAAGAATCGGCTGCCTGACAGTTATAAAGAATCCCGGAGGCTGTGGTTTGAAGGCTCACAGGGTCTTTCAGAAGACATTCTTGTTTGTGAATTTCCGAACACTTGGTCTAGGCGGTCTAAAAATTACTCTGAACAAGGGAGGCAACAACTTAAACCTGGTGACTACTCTGGTGAGTTTTTCCTACCCTTGGGAAGAATGACCACACCAGTAGAGACTGTCCGGTTTGGTTATTCAATACTGCGAGAGTGGTGCAAAAGGGAAGGTGTGGAATGGAGTGGTCGGCTCTGTCTATAGCATCTCCTTATCTCAATCTTTCAACCCCCACACCCCTCTTCTTTTTTCTTTCTTTTTCTTTTTAAGATTTCCAGCGGTCTGCGTTGGCGTCATTGGAAGTTAGGCGAGAAGCAAGTGGCGTACAGATATCATTCATTTGTTACCTGTTATTATACTATGATACCACGGGTTATATCCATTTTGTGATAGAGGTCATGTATAGTTGCACCTGGCTCAGGTATATTTATTTCTATGAGAGTACTTTTCTGTATTCTGCAGACTAGTGTAGATATTATTCAGGACGTAAATCTTTGCGGTTAGATCGGTAATACTTGGACTAATTTTCAATGTAGTCAATCCCAACTCAATGCATTCTACAGGGAGTCACTCAAGCGATATTCATAGCCTCTACCCTGTAAACGACCTACGCGAAACAGTCACAAAATATTTTCATTTCCGTGCAAGCTCGTCAATCTGCAGCAATATATCGATTTGCCTCAATTAGATCTGGGCCATGCATGTCATTGAAGGTAAGTCCTTCGAGATCTAACGCCATGAAGCACCGACATGCAACACCTAGAACACACCGCTGAAAATTCAAATCGATGCTCACGTTTAATAATCATGGCGGCAACTCTGAAGTGCTCAAAGCTGAGATAATAAGGGGATATCGGCTTTCTCGTATGAAGACACCGACGGCCGCATTAGAAGAATGGTGGGAAGAAAGCGAGAGGGAAGTAAAATAGAAGGCGCGGGAATGGAGCAGAAGAAGCGCAAAAAGCTAAACAATGATCCTAGCGCTATGTTATGCGATGCAACCGCTTGGGCAGTTAAGGTGCCTATCGATGGCTCGTATAGGGGGAGCTGGGATTCAATTCCCCTCCAAAGACCCAGCCAGCCTCCCGACAATACCTAGCTTCTCTGCCATATGCGCCGACTTCACTGCTCCAGCAGATAACGGAAGCATCTACAATATCAGCAATTACACATTCTATTGCTCCCAGCACACTCCAACCAATCGTCCCTGCAATCAGCCCGACCACATAGGCGTACAAACTGCCTCGAGCGACACCACTACTACTTGATACACCTAGGTCACGAGCAGTAGTCACCCAACCTCCAAACCCAAGAGCCAGAGACATCATAAGTCGGGCAGCATGGAGAATAAGCTTTGAGAGCCGATATGGAAGAAGAGGTGTCATGGTTTCGCGTGGTCGTGAAAAGGACCGCGGGTGCAGCGAGGGACTAACTATAGCAGGCGAGAGAGCCGTCATACGTGTAAGGCTTCGAGCAGACACCATCAGTGGCTGTGAATGTATCGCAGCATAAGTGAGTGCAAGGGGGTCTGTGAGCGTTGTGACCGGAGCGGGTGCAACGGAGTAAGTGAACAAGCTTAAGACAAAGGTGACACGACTCGGGAGGAAGAGAAGAGGAAGTCGAATTAGCAGTGCGCTTAACCTTGACAAGCAAATTGTGCCAAATAAAGCCGTGAATGAATGCACAATTGCGGCCCGAACAATTCGCCTTGATGTTGGAGCAGGGGTTGCGAGTCGATGAAAGTACCACTGGCTTACTGTAGCAGCTGTAACTGCACGTTGAATACCCGCCACGACTCCCAGTGACCATAGGTAGACAAGAATGAAGCAGACCCCCAGCCACCAACTACTGAAACTGACAACGAAGCGCTTCGACCCCGTTATATTTCCTCCTAGAAACACCCGCGTGAACATAAGCATCCACAACCACGTCCATGAGACGGTGAAGGCGAGAATGCCAAGACCAAATATTAGTAGCTCCGGGTTTGCGGCGAGGATCCGACATGCAAACTCCAGAATACCAATTGCTTTGCCTATAGCATGGCGGCCCCGGATTACATTGTATATCCACACGCTAGCCATGATGAACGGGATGATGGAACCCCATCTCATCACTTTATCCTGTATGCTTGTTCCATGCCAGGCGCCTCTGAAGCTTGAAACAAATGGATAAAGAGAGAAAGAATACAGAATGATAGGAACAGCGAATAAGATCACGTGAACCAGTTGACGCACGTAGGATCGCAGTAGCGCAAGCCACAGCAGTGAGACAAAAATCGAGACAACGGTATACACACCTAGGAGATAGAAGGAGGCGTGGATAGTCAAGTACACAGTGTCGCCCCACTTCGATTTGTCCCCGGAGGGAGCCGAGGTATGAAGATAGACAAGGAATGATGTAGCGAAAAGACAAGCGAGGGATATCAAGAAGAGTTGACCCCAAAAGGCATCATGTACGGGCGACTCCGTTCTTACCGGTACAAACGACATTCGAAGAGAATTTGTGGGACTTGATGGCTGGGGGTCATCTGTTAATGTTTGTCGATCCGTTTTCACGGGCATGAAAAATGAGTCTATGCCAAAATTACCCTTCTGTTGTTGAGGCTGTTCCCGAAATCGTTGGATAGAGGGAGGATTATCATCGCCTGTCTCTGAAGAATCGACTCTATCATTATCCACGGTAGATCGCAGGCTATCTTCGAGATGAACGTCAACTAGTTTCTCTCTAGCTTTGATATTGTCTCCGTCCAGGCGTGGTCCGTCTTCAACATCAACACCCTCAGCCACGGGGCCAACATTCACGTCTCGCTCGTTATGATAGGACGTCACGGGGCGCCAGGAGCTCCTGATACCCTGCCCTTTGCTATACATGCCATATCTGGCTACTCCATTCTCCTCAGCACTACTAGAATGGTCATCTTCTTCGTCAATTTCCGATGAGTCTCGGAGATGACTACTACCAAAATTCCGTCTTGATTTCTGAAGGGCGTAGAAGTCGGCGATTTCACGTTCATGCTCTGCTTCATCATCCTCTTCACGGAACTCGTCAGTAGCACTGTAAAAAAGGGGCGCCGGCCGGGCCAAGTTCCGAGAAAAGGGAAGGTTGGATATCTGAGATGTCGCCGGGTGATACGGGTCAAGAGTCGCTCTTTGCAAAAAGGACCGCGAGGGTAGAATGCGAGAATTTCTCGGTTGTTGCATGAAGCGCCCATGGCCTTTTCTGCGCGTTTCTTCAGAATGAGGGACTAGTCGTGACTGTGACTGGGCAAGGAAGCGGGAGGCATCTGTGATGGTGAGCAATGTCAGCCCAGCGAGCAGGCTGAAATTACGCCAGCTCTATAGATGTATACAGCACATACATTCTGAAAACATATCTGACTAGGTTCCGTCGCAGGGCCTATCAGGGGGTCAAGGCGGTTGCTGCTCATCAGCCGTCCTGAATGTTGCTCGTTTGGAGGAATAAGCGGTGAGCTCCGATGGTGTTCGTGATAATTTTAAGATAGATGGTACATGGAGGCTGTCAAGGGGAGCATCCAGTAAGATATATACTTGAGTTAAAGTTCTCAGATAAGTATATGGCAGGTTTTAGAAAGAAGAGAAAACGGGGGCCTATGTCGTAAGGCACCTGTTAAGGTGAATCAGTATGGGAGAAGTAAGGTGCAAGCGTCATAAGGTAAGGTCATGGTGATAGATGACTCAGCTTCCGGGTGCATCTTGCACTTGAAGGCCCATTTTCACTATAGAACAGAGTACGGCGTACAGGCTGAGAAATTGACTGACTTCTCTGATATGTTTCCCGAAGCCTTCCCCCCCCCCTCCAGAAAAGCTCCTCATGCCTATGTACGTACTTAGGACTAGATGAAGACCCACACAGGTGCTCCACAGAGCTTAGCAGATCACCACCATAGCAACTCTTTGATAGAATATGTAGTATTAAACGCAGGTCTAGGAATGATTGGGTTTCAGCACCGGATCCGAATATCCCGAAAAATAACAATGGATGTCGGTAGGTATGTAACGTTACTTCATGAAGTGAGTACCCGGTTAGAAATTTGACCTAGCTCCCGAATAGATTGTTGGATCCCTATGCAATCGAACAGCCCAACTTTTGTGACAAGGCTACTATAGTAGCTCATTGGCTTTGAATGATGTCATATCAAAGTCGCCTCGTCTTGTCTGGAGGAATATTACTCCTACTAGGTGACATTGTTTGTTTCGCGCCGCGATAGGTAATCATCAACTATATGAACGCTTTCTTGGGCCGGTAAAAGAGGGAGAGGTTTTGCTAATGTTGATCACGTGGGCACCGGTGCACCTGGGAACCCGCCTCCAAATGGTCTAAGGACTACCGCCTCGGGCAATCCTCATATAATACTCCGTACACTTGGTCTTCAGAACCTCTGGCACCATCATTTAGCTCGGGATTTTCCCGTGCGGTTTATTAGCGACGGCTTTCGGAGCATGATTTTCTCAAACACTTGAGCTGGCGGATATCAATTAATCGAGAATCAAATACTCTGCATTCAAGACATAATAAACTCTGCTGTATCCATGTCCCAGCCATGGGACTACATCGCTAAGCTTGTCTGTATCGGTGACTCCGGAACTGGAAAGTCTAGCGTGAGTGTCCTCATAGGTCCCAGATCGTCATAGTTCAACTGCACTAATCCCTGCTATAGTTAACTATCCGACTTTGCGAAGGACGCTTTTCATCTTCCCACGATGTGACTATTGGTGTGGAATTTGGATCGCGCATAGTTCCAGTTGGGCCACCTGCTTCAAAGGCCTTGGAAATAGAACCAAACGATAGCCCTCACAGCCGGACCTCTTCACTGGCAATAGCTCTAGATACCTCCAATGAGCTTGTCATGTCGGGCTTACCTAACCCTCCGCGCAAGGTACCCGAGTCACAAAAGAAGATGAAATTATCGTTGTGGGATACGGCAGGTCAAGAAACGTACAAATCCATCACACGGTCTTATTTCCGCGGTGCCTCTGGAGCTCTGCTTGTGTTCGATATAACGAGGCCATCTACATTCGCTTCATGCACCCAGTGGCTGCAAGATTTGCGGCAAATTGCGGAAGAGGATATCGTAGTTTTACTTGTCGGTAACAAAAGCGATCTAGCTAGTGATGATTCGCAACGGAGTCAGAGGCATGTTACGAGGCGAGAGGCGGAGGAGTGGTGTCGCATGAACAATGTCGTACGCTACGTCGAGACCAGCGCAAAGTCTGGCGATGGCGTCGAGCGTGCTTTCGTTGAGGTCGCCGAAAGAATCTATCGAAACATCGAAGCGGGCAGATACGATCTAAATGACCGCAGAAGTGGAGTGAAGGGTTTCGGCGCTTCCGGGGGGGCAAACACTAGCGTACCCAAAACTGTTACACTGGGTCTGAATGATGCAATGCGCAGGGGTGGAAACGGTTGGGCTGCAAACTGTTGTTAAGTACATAACGCCAACGATGGCGATGTTATGCGAAACTGCCTGAAAACTGAGAAAATTTTGAGAAGTTATCCTCTTTAAGAAGCAAGTGTCAAGAGCTAGAGCTAAGCTTTGGGAGAGTATGCCCTGCATATTTTCGGAAATACTATCGAAACTCAATATGTCTTGTTCTTGGGTCTGACGGGTTAAGCTACCGACCGAGCCTTGTTTGATTTCGCCAGCATGATCGAAACGCGATAGTACACAGGCTACAGCAGAAGTGTTTTCATAGTACAACAATAGAAGTATAGAATACTGGAAACAGGACGGTGTGATAATAGAAGGGAAAGAAAGACAAATATAGGAAATAGAAAAGGAGAGAAGTGGAAAGAGGAATGTCAGAAGACGCGAGGTATTTCAATTGGCTATGCGCCAGCCGCTCAACCAGTCCAAATGAGCCCACTGCTGACTCGAGCCTTCAATGCCAAACACAATCGCCCGGAAATACAGGAACATACCGATTATGAGAGCGTAAAGCAAAGAATAGATAGCCCAGCGGAGTTTACCATTCATTGTTTGCGTGAGCCAGTCGACGCAGAACCCAAAGGTAAGTATGGCGTAGTACAGTGCTGGGTAGTAATGATGAACATATGTCACCCTTCCCATAACAATGAAAGGCAGATAATGCAGTATCCATCCAACGACCGGGTACACGCCAGAATAGTGGATATGGTTAATATCCGCTTGGGAAAGCTCATTGTAACCTCGCTGCCAACGCACGAGATACCAAATAACCACAAGCCCAAAGACTCCAAGACTAACCGTACTCCCCCAGTAAACGAAGGGGTTGCCAAGGAGATAGTATTTAATGGTATTGTCGTCCCAAGAGCACATCCGAAGCCCGACATTAAGTATGGGCCATTGCCAGAATTTTGAGGCGAGATCATCCTGCTTATCTGGGTCGGGAACCAGTGCATTGTTGGACGTCATCATGGCAACATTCAGGTGGATAAAATCTTTCAGGAAAGGCGACTTGTAAGATCCTGGATCACCCGGCGGAACTATCAAATCAACTGTCAATACGTTTTTTTTTAGATAAACAAGGGAACAAAAATTTTTGAAGCTTACGCCGTTCGTTAAAGTGAGACTCGACATTCCAGTGTGTGTATACATCGCTCGGTTTGTTCTCTTTCACGCATGTAGTTTCAATCTGCTTGAAACCCCATTGCGGGAGATTGACGTTGCCGGCTCGTAAATAACAACCTAAGACAGGATGTCGCAGGCGAAATGCAGTAGTAAGGGTGCGGATTTTACTTCTATCCCTCGATGCAACATCATCAACCACCTCAACCACCCAATGGTCTTTATCGTCACCGATCGTAATATTGCCGTAGCACGACACTTCGTACTGGGACTTGGAGATTGGTGCAGGGATTGCATGAGAGTGTAAATTCCGACCTGTTTGCCCATGAATAAGACGAATGACAGCACCATCACTTACAAACTGCAGGGGCGCACTTGGATCATAGTCTGGCTCGTGACGACTGGGGTAGATGAACCAGTCATTGTTGGCGTCTTTGTGGTGATAGCAAGTAACTTGTTGCTGAGAGGATCCTTCGGGATATGTCTGGATATGCGAATGGAGAAGTCCGCCGCCGTAACCCATGTTCTTCAGTGTGACTCTTGAGCCAAGAGCAATTTCCAAAGGACTATCTTTCCCGACCTCTGTTCCTCTCAAATTGGCCTGGAAAAGTGAACTCATCTGAGCGTCACCGGGTCCACTGTTTTCCAGAACCAAGAAGTGTAAGTAGAATGAAAATACATAAACCAAAACCGGTATGACAATCAGTCCAACAACACGAGCCAAGAGATGTTTCGCAAGGACAACCTGCCAGCGAGTTTAGCAACAGGTTAGGAGCGCTAGGTTCTTCCGTGACTGACCTCTGACATTTTTAGATCGCCGAACTTATTCCATAGATCTTCGATCGTATAGAGGCCTACAAGAGCAGTGCAAAAGAAGCCTACCCATTTCACACTGCACACACAACCAATACTTATCCCAGTCAAGAATAGCCAGATAAACCACTCAGTTGAGAAACTCGCGTGCTGCAGTCGGTGAAACTTGGCCCAGCAGAGGGTAGTAGTGAACGTGAAGCACAGCAGCATGGAATCCAGTAAGATGAATCTAGAGATGGTTGCATATGAGTTATCAAATAGCACCATCAAACTAACGAGCCAGACAGTAGCCCTGCGGAAACCAAGTTCTCGAGCTGTATAATAAGCAAGTGGCACACACACGACACCAAACGCGGCATTAAACACACGCATGAAAGTATAGTTGACTTCTTCTGGATACTTCTCGCCAGATTTGAATTCAAAAGACCCGTTGTAGCCGGCAAGATATCCTGACAAGCCGACAAGCATTTTTCCAAGTGGTGGGTGTACGTCGAAGTAGAACTCGCGTTTCAGGTAGTGTGATCCGAACTTGCCAAAGCTAAGCCTAGGGGTAAGAAACTGGGTCGACACCGTATAACTCATTAGGGAATATGTTTTCCTTACTGCGCTTCATCCCAAGTCACAATATTCGAGCGACCAATACGATACATGCGCGTGAAGATAGCTACGGCTGTCAACAAGAGAGGCATGACCACAGGTTCCCATTGATCAACAATCGAAATACGGGAGTGAACCTGCTTTTCAATCCGACAGACGTTAGTCACTGAGTATCGTATAGGCTTAGAATTGTGAGGAAAAATACCTTGGGCTTGGGCTTGCTATGGATTTCCTCCATGCCACCAGCCCCCCTTCCAGGCCCCTCCATGTGCAGGACATTTCGGCGCCGCACATCAGAGGTTAAGTTGACCCCAGTGCTTAATGCAATTCCTGGTTCAGCCATGATGGACGTCTCTCCCTAGAAGTCACCGGGTTTATTATTAAAGAAGTAAATAGCGGAAGTACGAAGAGCCGACTTGAGTAATCGACACAGCCGTAGGAATAGAAGAAAAAGGCAATAAAAAGAAAGGAAGAAAATGCTTCACAAGGAAAAGGAACCGAGTTCAATAATAAGATACGGTCATATCCGATAGCATAACATGGAGCTTCGCGAACACTAGGCAATGGGCGAGGGCCTGGTCTACGGTTCTCGGTAGTAGACAGGTGGATCAATTGAGGCGAATTGAATAATTGGGGGAGCAGAAGAATGAAAAGGACCGAATGTAGAAGACAATAGAAGGGAACAGGGGAATAGTCAAAGGATGTAGGAAGACAACGAAGGCATTGGAAATGAAAGACGACAGTACTTTTCAGATGCAGGGCAGCAGTGTACGTAGTGGGAAGCAAATGGAGAGTTGGCCTGGACATAACACGGAAAAACCGGCGCGGTCGTCTCAAGCTGCGGCCCCGCTTACTAGGCCACATTCAATCCCGAACAATGTACATGCGTACACAAATGAAACAGTCACCTCTGATGACCAAAAACTCTCCATACTACTCGGCGAACAAACACCGGTGAGTCTAGGTATCGTATACGAGCTCTTCCTCTCTCTCTTTCTCTCTCCAAGTAGAAAGTATTTGCTCTCTTGAAATCATCTCATGTTGAGAGTCCACCACGTCTTCTGAAGTAGATGCTTACAAGAAGAATCTATTAAGTCGACTGCAATCTATAATCAAAAAGTCTAAATACTACGTATGCCAAAGGAACTGCGAAGATGAAATGGAAGGAGCAACGATCATACGAATTTAGTTATGAACCCTAGAGAGCTACCAACAGTTTTGAGTACACGCTCAAGTAACAAAAAACGATGATGGTCTAGAACACTACTAGGCGGGGACTTCATAGTACTATATTGATTACTTGGTACGAAGTATGTACCAGTACTTGAGAAGATTTCTTTCAAGGAATACTTATGTTGGCCTAAAATTTTACAATTTTCAAATGCTCACTCAGGTACCTAAGTTGACTTGATCAACTCCTGATGTTTAGGTAGACTGGTTTTTTTCTAATAAACAGGCACGGAGACCACTACTACTACTGTAGCTTTGCCCTATGGTACTTATACTAGTAGTGATGACACCAATGAGACAAATTAACGGTGATTGAAAAGCAAAATCATGTAACCATCCTTCTCCCCTGATGCTATGCACTGGACTTACACAGGCTCGCGTAAGCACTGTCTGAGAGTCTGGAGAGCTCTCTAAACCTTTACTTACCCAGAAGTAAAACAGATTAAGTGGTTTATAACTGTTTTCTTGTGTGTATTGCTCGCTGCCACGACTCCGTACATAAAATCGTGTTCTGATACTTTACTTCGGTCATGTCGTATCGACCGGTTTATCATTTTAACTAGATCGCGAAATAGCTCTGGCCCTGACCTAACCACACAATCTGAAACCTCTACTATAGTAATCGGGAGACCATCAGCGCCTACCTAGGAATTGCCACACGCCTTGGAAAAGATCAGCGAACGCCTGAATATGATTAATTACACAGATACCGCCCCCGTCGGAACTATTAAGGAACGCAGCACAAAGATGGAGAGTTATAAATTCCGTAGAGACATCCGTAACCTAAAAGCTGATTTGGAGGGGGGTGATCGAAGGCAAGGTTTTGATCTCCATCGTTTATTACCGCAAAAGTGACGACCCGAGTAGATTGCGAAATCCAGTCCCGGTTGGTATCTCAGGATGGGTGAATCAGTGATATTTTGACAACTCCACTCTATCTCATGAAAGGCATATATCAAGGCAAATCCCCGTTATTTCTACGCAACATGGTAAACGAGAAAAGTAGATGTGTCGGTGGTAGGAAAAAGGGTGTGATATGACGATCAAATGGAACAGAAGAATATAGACACGAAGTAGAGGGCCAGTAGACAAGTGAAAGTGTGGCATATTGAGAGACCAAATTCAAAAGAAAGAAAGGGGCAGAGAAAAGGCGAGTGTGTAGACGAGGGGGAAGAAGGTAGGATGATGAAGGACAGGTCTTATATAGGAACGTTGTGATCTGAAGACGAACAGCTGTCTCACTACTCTTCCGCGTCGACTTGTCCAAGACGTCTATATTGATTAGCTTGTAGTCCTTGCCCTGATGATCCCTTATGACGAGAGACCATATTCGAGATCCAACCACCGAATCCCTCACGGCGGTCGCCACTGCCTTCTTGAGAACCACGCCGTATCACTTTAGCGTTCTCACCAGGATTGATGCTTGGAGGATCAATTTCTAAGCCAGGTATGGCATTATCTGGTCCAAATTGGCCATATTGCCGCCGAATGTCAAGCGCAGACACAGGAGAACCAACGCTCATGAGAGAGCCACGCTCCCCTTGCGAAGCGGGTGTTGGCATGGCGGTCGTTGCGTCCCCAAACAGAGTATCCATGTCTTCAAGGCGGACACCACTAGTTTCCGGATACAAGAAGTAAACTAAATCGATCACATGTCAGAATAGAAAAATATGTCAGAGATGGTAATACTGACCAAGGACGAAGCTGCACGCACAAAAGAAGGCGTGTACGAGGTAGAGACGCCATTTGATAACGGCCTGAAGGACAGGTGTGACCTCTCCGACGAGCCAATTGAAAGCCCAGTTTGTAGCGGTGCTAAGACTGGCACCTTTTGCGCGAATGCTTAATGGTAGGATCTCGGGCGGATATAGCCATGGGATAGGTCCCCAAGATGCGCCAAATGCAGCATTATAGATCATAACGAGAATTACAGTGAGCGTGGGAGTTGCTGCAACATCGATGAAAATGAAGTACGAGATCAACGAAAGAGAGATAATCATAGCCACTGCTCCCGAAAGGAGGATTGGTCGCCTTCCCCATCGGTCAACAAGGTACCACGGAGGCACTGTGGATGCGAGGTACGAAATTGCATTGATACCGGTCATCAAAATAGCATCGCGGCCCGCCCACCCTGCTGATTCAAAAACAAGCGGAGCGTAGTACGAGATTACATTGATACCATTTAGCTGGGCTAGCGCCTGAGCGGACATGGCTATCAAGACCCGTTTGCGGTATCGCTTGAACATGTCAGTGTAAGATCTCTCACCTTCTTGCCGCTGAAGAAGGACATCCATTTTGATTTCCCTGTACTCCTGCCTTGCCTTGTCATTATGTAAATCGCCTTGTCCGTAGAGATTAGCAATGACTACCATGCCCTCCTCGTCATAATCATTGTCTAACAGCCATCTGGTGGAGTGGAATATTAGCACAAATCTTCATTATAAGCGTACCCTCATACCTCGGTGATTCACATATGATGAGACTTCCTAGTCCAAGGAGAGCTCCCATTACACACTGGAACAGTAACGGTAAGCGCCATGAGTAGTTACTGTCAATGAAGCTACAGAAGTAATCAACCCAGACGCTGGCGGCGTATCCGGAAATATTTCCGGTGAACTCAATACAAGCCAGCTTTCCTCGATTGTGAGGGGGCTGTTAATAAACGTCAGCAGGGGTCAAAAACTGACAAGTAGTAATAGAAATCCTGTCAAGGTTGGGGCTTATAGTTACCGATATTTCAGACTGGTAAACAGGTACGATTGTTGACAATGCACCAACCCCTAAACCAGCGACGATACGGCCGACCATCATCATGGCCAATCCATTTGCGAATGACTGCAATGCCCCACCTATGAAGAAGACTATTGACCCATATAGAATAGTCCGCCGGCGACCTATCAAGTCTCCAATACGTCCAACAAGTAATGAGGATATAAAGGCCCCAACCTCGAGAATTGCCACAACCGTGCCAATCGCAGCGCGCGATGGCTGGTTAAAGTAATCCTTGAAATACCAACCACTGCATTGCTATTAATTTGGGAACCGTCGGATACTGTATCTGGGAGAACACGAACGTGATGATACCAGACATAACACCTTGATCATAACCAAAGAGAAAGACGCCTAAAGATACAAAAACACTAGTGAAGTACCTTTGCGGGGTCAGCAGGAACAATGCAGGGATTAATAGAGAAGTAGGGATTCAGGATTTACACACAGCAGTGGCTTCCCAACTAAGCCATGCACCTGTGCCGTCTGTCGGTTGCTTGGAGACATTATAACAGCTAGAAGACGTTCGATCCGTGAGATACGTCGAGGCGGAGGGCGGGGTATCTCTATCGATACTTTCTCGGCTTCGGCTTGCCCAGTGATAAGGTTGCTTTCGTCTGGGTAATGCACTCGTTTCGGGTGTTTTGCTCGGGCCCTCGACCCCAGTCGACTAGGGCTAGATATCTCACGGTCCAGAGATTCTCTGAGGCGGATCCGGAGAGGATCTTCTTCATCAGCCAGCTGTTCAGCTAAGTCACCAGTGTCTATCCAAAGTGAATCTTCAGACTCGGCAGATTGTGCAGATAAAGAACGCCGGCTACCCTTCTCACTAGCAGATTCGAATGTCCTGACAGACTGTACAGAGGCTGGCTGAGACCAGTACTGTAGAGACCGTAAGGGTATACTTGAGGAAGTTCGTGGTGAAGATGTCGAAGTAATGTTGACGGTTGTGATGGGCTGAGACACCAGCCCTTCTTACGGTGAAAGGTGAGTCGGTAGAACGCTTGATGGGGGGATCAATAAGTGATACGGACAGAGAACCCCCGTGTTCATCCGCAGAGACGGATTAAGAAAATCTCATCAAGGAGCATAAGAACTAACAGGCCTGTCCCGATGTTCCCCGTCTGAAAGGGGTAGATCAGAAGAGAAGCACGGTAAAACAGGGTGCTGGGAAACTAGTTGATCAACGAGAATAGAAAGCGGTGATGGCACTTCGGATTCCGCTCACGAGACAAGCAGTTTGACCGACGATGCAGGATGACGAAGATTGAGGCGATTTAGCCGGAGAAAAGGGGGGAAGTAAGTGAGGGAGAAAAAAAAGAGAAAAAAAAGGAGACGGAGCGACGGTCAGGTGGAAGTAAGGAAGAATACCAAATAAGGCTGTCAATAGGCTAGGCACACATAGGGCAAATCTACGTTAGCAGGTGATGAAACTAAAATCAAGTAACTATACGTACGGCTGACCAAATGAACGTAATGGGCTCTTAGGATAGTAGAAGGATGCTCCACACAACATAAAAGCCGTAAAAGTGAGAGAGTGAGAGGGAAACAGTGATCTGCTATACCTCGAGATAGCAAAGCGAGCAACTGTAGCCAGGAGCACAGTAGTATTGATGACTTTTTTTTGAGTACTCTTTGCTACTGTGACCGGGGAAGGGAGATGCACTACTAGTAGTACCAAGGGTATAGAGTACTTTTGGGGGGGGAGAACCTCCGCAACCAGCGGGAGGGTGGATCAATTAAAAATGGGCCGCCTAGTACCCACTGGGTATAGTGCCTAATGCATCACATTCGATTGAATTGGTTTTTAAGCTACTAGCCTACCTAGCAGGACCAACCTTCTCTCCAAGTAGATTTAACATCAAATTCAAGTCAATAGGAAATGTCAGTACAAACACTCGGTATCGGGAGACTAAATCAACTTACTACATAGCTACCACTAACGTAATCGGTAAACGACCGGGCCATGCAACCCAGCGGGCCACCTCAGTATTCCATTTCCATATAAAACAGTGCTTTTAATAATCCAAATATCTCAACAATCAGAGGTAGTACGAATATAATTTTAAAACATATATAGATATAAAGTATGTAAATATCACATCTATATATAAGATTTTTAATATATATTTTTTGATGTTCTAAATGCCATTATAAATAAATTACAAAAATACAAGGTAATTTATATTACCTAGTAGTTTACTGATTATATAGTTCTCTTTATCATATATATATATCTGTAGATATATATTAGTCTATATCCTAAATATTAGATCTCTACTAGCTCTAGTATTTGAGATATTTAAACGCTATCTTATATTGTATACAGGTTGCATGGCCGGGCTCAGTAGTACTGGCTTACTAAGTCTGGACAAACACCCTCGTGTGCCAATGGAACCTGTCCATGATGCCAACGCAGTTTTGAAGCTCTAGGGATTGTTAATAATCATGACGAGTAGATCATTAACAGTTGTTTTAATTAGGTTACTACTACTAAAGGTAGAACGAAATGATTAGTCTTTGGGATCATCTACCTGCAAAAGGCATGGGTAAACACAGCCAAGGAATCCACTAATAGTTTTTGTTATACTTATTTACTTAACCATTTCGTGAGAGGAGTAGCCGAAAATATAGACTGTCGCACCTCATAAGAGTAATATGCCCTATACGTACACTTCTAATTATCAAGAAAAAACATTAGATGTTAGTACAAGTATGCTTTCATCACGTGCAGCATTAGACGGGACTCAGTTGACATCACAACACAATCTAAACTGCGTCATCTTCCAACCAGAATGCTAATTTGCCCCATTCGCTTACTAACCCCTCGGGTGATGCCCTATCCTAAAGTATCATGTGCGATGAGGTAGCTTCATGATAGAATAATATCATACCCATCCTTCCGAATATACACCGCATCTGCCAAATTGGCATATTTACGACGCACCAATTCGAAGATCACCAGACCAGTGCTAGTGCTAGGCACTTGGCGAATAGCGTTTCTTACAAATCCGCGAAACAACCACCGGCGCCAGCCACCAGCTCGCGTGGCCTTCTTTTTGCATCGCTTATATGTCTCCTGATAAGCGAGATAATAGAGGCGTAGCATTTGTCGCCTAGGAGGGTGGAGACTTGCCTGGCGATCAAGATATTCTAGCCGCGCAACGTGGAGGTTTTGTATGAGGCTCAGCGGGTGCTGTATTGCTTGTTGCGCTACGGATGCCGCAACACCTGCGACCATCAAGAAGCATGGCTCCAGAGTATAGTGGGGCTTGATGAGCGGAACACCGCGATCACTGGACTGAGTAGACGGTAACTCGTCCATGTGCAGAACGCCCAATGATCCGTAGTATCCCGTAATAAAAGAATAGTATGCCTGCGATTTGATATACTCGAAGAACGAGAAAAAGACGCCATACCCAAAAGCGTCACGTAGAAAGGACAGACTCCACCCAGCGAAGATACCACGAATGCCTATTTGTTTGAGTTTATATTGACCGTAATGCCACATACTCCGATACTGGCCGTCGAGTATGTCATTCGCACGAAGACGAACCTGAAGTGCATCCAAAGGCGCAGCCACGACTGACTGGATGGTTCCAGCTGTAAAACCAGCCGTAAATGTATACAATGGACTAGCAGGCGGGTAAATACGCTTCACCCCACGAGACACTGGTTCATACAAGCCTCCAAGGACTTGGAGGTATGATGTATACAACACAGCACCAACCCTATTCACATAAGTCAATATACGATACAAGAATTTCCCTTCAACGTGCTTCATTTAGACACCCCCAAGGTGTCGAGTAAACCCACCCAGCATTTGCCAAAAGGGGAGGCATGATCTGGTTTGGAATAAAACGCCATCCATATGTGCGAACAGCATGAACAAGTAACCCCGGTGTTGTGGTACGCAAAGACCATCGGCTTTCAGCTGAATGAGGATTGACAGCTCTGGCAAATGCCTGTCATGGGAAAAGTATATTAGTCGGTGAGAAATGTTACGAGAACAGCATGATGGATGCAAGTACCATATAACTGAAGGAGAGAATTCAAGTTAATATTAGATATCGTCAATAAGAAAGAAAAGAGGGAAAGAAAGCCGCAGTTCCATACTCAACTCTGGTGCGGAAGAAAGCTTTTATGGGCGCTCTGAAGTAGAATGCAACCAACTGCGCGCTAAGAGCTCGAACGCCAGCAGCAGAAGCCCCGGTGGCTGCATTGTTTCGTGGTTTCCTCTGAGAGGAACTTTCGGAGTCCGCACTAATGATGTAGTCTAATGTATCATCAGGGGTAAGGCATTTTTTTGATTCCATTTTGCAATGTTAGACTTGATATGCTCCATCAGGAAAGTGACGAAGGAACCGGTACGCTAAAAGCAATGAAACAAAAACGATAATAAGTCTAGAAACAATCAGTCAAAGAAATAGATAATACCGTCGATGGGAGATAAATTAAAAACTGCTAAAGAATAATTTGACGTTGTGTAAAGGAAGACTATAACTGTGCTCGTACCTCAGCCCCCATGAGATTTTCAGATTTCACCAACAATCAATCAGTAAGATATGGATGGAGTACAAGGGTCAATGATTGAAAATCAAACAGTGCAAACATTTAACGGCTTTGCCCAAAACGCGCTTTGCTGACCCGCGTTCGCTTCAGGTTCCCGAGCCTTAATACTTACGTTGTATGCTTCCTCAACCTCTTATCAACCTAAAGTAGCCGTGCCGTTACAGGCTACTTGGGTTGTTGCATGATACATGCTCGGAATCATATTTCCTCCTTTCTCCATTACTTATACTTGTATTCCGCTACTCCGTCTTAACTGAAAACCGGGTGGTATCAAGTTCTCGACAGAGGCCGTACTAACCATGGCTGACGAAATTGTGATCGATAAAACCGCCTTTTTTAACCGACTTTCGAGCTTCTATACAGCATGGAAAGCAGACAAACGATCTGGGAACGCTGTTTTTGGCGGCGTAGGATCAATCGTGATCCTAATGGGGAAAACAGATGAAGCAAATAGCTTCCAGAAAAATAACGCGATTCATGTATGTCTTATCGTTTCATCCATCTATGATGTGCAAAGGTACTAACTTGCTGATCATCAATTTCAGTTTTGGCTTCTTGGCTACGAATTTCCAGCTACACTTATGGTTTTTACAACAGATATGATGTATGTTGTAACTACTGCGAAAAAAGGTGAGGAATTTTTCTATGAAGATTCTATGTATCTCAGTACTGACTTCAACTTCCAAAACATAGCTAAGCACCTTGAACCGCTGAAAGTTGGTAAGATTCCGGTGGAAATACTGGTCACGTCCAAGGATCCAGAAGAGAAAAGCAAGTCGTTCGAGAAATGCTTGGAAGTCATAAAAAATGCCGGTGTGAGTGCCGTTACCGCCACAAAGGGCTTGAATATACAAAGTGCATGCTAATAAAATGATACAACAGAATAAAGTCGGTGTGCTTCCAAAAGACACAGCTGCTGGCCCCTTCGCAGAAGATTGGAAGCGTGCGTTTGCAAATATAACGCAGGAGATAGAAGAGGTTGATATTTCGCCCGCTCTTTCTTCCGCAGCCTTTTCAGTGAAGGATACAGATGAGCTGGTAAGAGCCTCCCAACTCTGTGCTTATCAGACGGATGTCTAAGTCTTTAAGGTGTCTATACGGAACGCATCAAGAGCATGCAGTGGCTTAATGTCAGATTACTTCGTTGATGAGATGTCTCGTCTACTTGACGAAGAGAAGCAAATGACTCACAAGGCGCTCTCAATGAGGATTGATGCGAAAATTGACGACTCCAAGTTTTTCAGCAAACTTGCCAAGCTGCCAGCCGAATTTGATCCCCAACAAATTGATTGGGCATATGGTCCTGTTATTCAAAGTGGAGGGAAATACGATCTTCGACTTACAGCTACGTCTGATAACAGTAACCTTCAGGCAGGGATTATCATTGCTGGGTTTGGGATCCGTTACAAGACGTACAGTTCGATTATAGCACGCACCTACTTAGTAGACCCCAGCAAGTCTCAGGAGACCAATTATGCTTTCCTATTGAACCTCCACGAAACAGTTATGAAAGATGTTCGTGATGGGACGATAGCCAAAGATCTGTATAACAAAGCAATCGGTCTGGTTCGAGCCAGGAAGCCTGAGTTAGAGGCCCACTTTGTGAAAAGCATTGGCGCTGGCATTGGAATCGAGCTCCGAGACTCTAACATGGTTCTCAATGGCAAGACGAATAAAATTCTGAAGAGTGGCATGACTCTTTCTATCACAGTGGGACTGACGGATGTCGAAGAGCCTGAGTCAAAAGACAAAAACAGGGCTGTATACTCTATGGTTATTACAGACACTGTACGTGTTGGTGAAAATGGCCCACACATATTCACCAAGGATGCAGGTATTGATATGGACTCTGTCTCGTTCTACTTCGGTGACGAAGAGGAACCTCAGAAACCTGCCAAGGAAAAAAAGGAGGTTAAAACCGGCGCGATGGCTAGCAGGAATGTTACCCGCACCAAACTTCGCGCTGAGCGACCAACTCAAGTTAACGAAGGTGCAGAGGCACGACGTCGCGAACATCAGAAGGAGCTGGCCACGAAGAAGACAAAGGAGGGCCTCGATCGATTCGCCGGAACTACCGGGGACGACAATGGAATCACACAGAAAAAGTTTAAACGATTTGAATCCTACAAAAGGGATAACCAGCTGCCTGCTAAGGTGAAGGATCTCACTATTTATGTGGACCACAAAGCATCAACTATTATTGTCCCAATAATGGGCCGACCAGTGCCTTTTCATATCAATACAATCAAGAATGCCAGCAAAAGTGATGAAGGAGAATACGCTTATCTTCGAATCAACTTCCTTTCTCCAGGCCAGGGTGTTGGCAGGAAGGATGATCAACCATTTGAAGACTTGTCAGCTCACTTTTTGCGCAATTTAACGCTCAGGTCTAAAGACAACGAACGTCTTGCGCAGGTCGCTCAAGATATTACTGAGCTTAGGAAGAATGCCCTGAGGCGAGAACAGGAGAAGAAGGAGATGGAAGATGTAGTGGAGCAAGATAAGCTTATTGAAATTAGAAGTCCGTGCCAATAGCTTTGACCGGTTGCTTATATGGGCTAACAAACTACCAGATCGTCGCCCTGTGAAATTGCCTGACGTTTATCTTCGACCTCCATTAGACGGTAAACGAGTCCCAGGTGAAGTCGAAATCCACCAAAATGGTCTTCGTTATATGTCACCTTTCCGAAACGAGCATGTCGATGTTCTTTTCAGCAATGTGAAACACCTATTTTTCCAGCCCTGTGCCCATGAATTGATCGTGCTGATACACGTCCATCTGAAAACACCCATCATGATTGGCAAGCGGAAGACCAGGGATGTGCAGTTTTACCGCGAGGCTACTGAGATGCAATTCGATGAGACTGGCAATCGTAGGCGCAAACATCGTTATGGTGACGAAGAAGAGTTCGAGGCAGAACAAGAAGAGAGGCGACGGAGGGCAGCCTTGGACCGGGAATTCAAAGCCTTTGCTGAGAAAATAGCAGATGCGGGTAAGGATGAAGGAGTAGACGTTGACATCCCGTTCAGGGAGATTGGTTTTACTGGTGTGCCGAACCGCTCCAACGTCTTGATTCAGCCAACTACGGATGCCCTGGTTCAGTTGACAGAGCCCCCTTTTCTTGTGATAACTCTGAACGAGATCGAAATCGCTCATTTAGAGAGGGTGCAGGTATGTGCAGGCTTTAGCATAGTCCAGCTTCGCTGTTACTAACATACCTATAGTTCGGGCTTAAGAATTTTGACCTAGTATTTGTCTTCAAAGATTTCCACAGGCCTCCTGTCCATGTTAACACAATCCCTGTCGAATCCCTCGAAGGGGTGAAGGACTGGCTCGATTCTGTTGACATTGCATTCACAGAAGGACCGCTGAATCTTAACTGGACCACGATCATGAAGACTGTCGTGAGTGATCCATACGGCTTCTTTGCTGATGGTGGATGGTCGTTCCTTGCGGCAGAGTCTGATTCCGAGGACGGTGGATCCGAGGAGGAAGAATCTGCATTCGAGCTGTCGGAGTCCGAACTTGCCGCAGCGGATGAAAGCTCTGAAGATGACAGCGAATTTGATGATGATGCCAGTGCTGAGGCAAGTGAGGATTTCAGCGCAGATGAGGAGAGTGGCGAAGATTGGGACGAATTAGAGAGGAAGGCCAAAAAGAAAGATAGGGAAGGTAGTGTCGATGATGAAGAACGTGGTAAGAAGCGAAAACGTTAGTTACTGTACCTATCTCGTTGCGTTTGTTGAATACTGTCCATGTGTTCATCATTCTCGAAGGGTTTGCTACTACAACGGGGAGGGTTATCAGGTCTCAGACTTTAATGTACGTTTCCGTTGGAAACAGGTCTTCTTTACTTTCTTCGCGTCGACAGAGCTTGTAGTATGTTTATGGAGAACGAAAATTGGCATCCAGAAGGCATAGATACACCGTACTTCGTAAATCGATATGGTGGTCAGTAACATGGCATGTTACTGGCGCTCCCGACTGTTAGACGGAATTCAAGTGAATTAATTGTCAACCAATGTCATTTCCCACTGCTCTTAACTTCTAAGAAATTCATTCACCATTTGCAGACACATGTTATGGAACGAAAGAGAGAAATATAATAGAGTTAGCTCTACAGTACCCTACCATGACCTGCACTACGGCTACGTTATGTATGCAGTCGACATATAGGCCCCTACTTGCAAGGGTCGAACCTTGGGGGGTTGAGGCTTCTCTTAAATTAGCACATTCTTCTGGATACTGTTCAGTAGTTGTTTAGCCGTGTATTCTCACCCAACAGACGTAAGACAGGGGCACTTTGTTATAAGATCTTGGGGGGTTAGACCAGTTCAGGTAAGCAGGTGGGGGGGACTGGTTATTAGTTGAAAATCAATCAGGAGAAAGATGAGATCATCTATACAGAGTACAGGCAAGCTCATAAGGAGCACAAAGCTCTATAGTTTCCAGCAGATCAAAGGCCTAGCAGCTATGCGGTCACGTAGCTAGCTTGCCATGGGCGAAATCGTCTTCTAGAGATAGCGCATTGTATTGATGTATGTATATATTCTTATTAGATCTTGAACGTATTGGCAATGCACGATTCGTGACAGAGATAGGGCCAGTATGAGAAAAAAGGCGCGAGTTGAAAACCCACCGTACATTGCGTCAAACATATCCTTAAAGCCTTACTTCCCTTCTCTCATGGCAAACCACATACTTCGCATTCTCTTGATTTGACCAGGGGTAAAAGACTCATAACACTCATCAGACGAATAGTCCATAAAATTATGAATTGCATCAACCCCCGGGAGGTCCGGGCACGAGTCCTTCAGAACAGGGCACCCTTCTGTGGGCGTAGATTGCTGTGGTGTGTCTGCGATAAAATCACCCTCGTTATTGGGTGAGCATGATTCTCCTTCGAAAGTATGTAACAAACCATTCCAGTGGCCAATCTCATGGATCGCGGTACCGCCCCTGTTGTAGTGTGCGAGAGAACCACCCGGCATGGTTTTAGCAAGTACATTACAACCATCCTTGATGTAACTAGTTGGTGAGCTGCTAGCATTTATGCTTGGGTCAGGCAATGTGCAAAAGCCAAGCATGCTGGAAGACGGTTGACCCAAGGCGCCCGCTTCTCGGTTGGTGATGTTAGCAGTAGCCCTTGCACCCGCACCCGAGGACGCTCGCAGATCGGTGTGAAAGTAAATGTTGAGCGTACGATAGTTCCCTCTGCGGAGGGCAGCTTTCATTGCCATTTCGTCTTCATTGCGAGCCCATGTATTATTTATTGAACGGGTCACGCCCCGTAGGCGATATGATATCGTAGCATTCCAGTATGCGTCCTGTAAATAGGAAAGCTTCACAGGAAGTCAGACAGTCATTGTTGTTATTATCTCTTGTTGAACCCTGGGCCATTTTGGCGTCCACAAACGAAAATGGGGTCAAGACATGTATAATGTGCCACCAACCTGAGAGATAATCATAGCATCTGACACTGATTCGGTATGTGCTTCATCGCTAATTATATGAAACCATGTATCTATCTCAATCGGGGTAATCGCCGCCCGACTTTCGGAAGCAGTAGAATTGCAACTTTGCGAATCCAGTGCGCTTAATCTTCTGTACTCTGCCTTCAGGTACTCGGTCGGGGGGGACGTCGCACAAAAGCCGCGAGTGTGCGAAACGAGAGCGAAGCTTTGTATTTGTGAAGTGACTATGGAAAGCACGAAAAGAATACGTTGGATAGGGAAACGCGACATGTTGTTTCCAATTCCAAGAAAAAAAGGCAAGAAAGAAAAAAGCTCGATATTGCTCACTAGTTAAATATAACCTGGTAATGTCAACCAGTTTGTGGGAATGTTGCGAGTCAGTAGCAGCAGCAAGAACAAGAGTTGGTAGGCCCAGGAATGTTACGACGCAACGTGAATGTCAACAAGGGGTATAAACACCCCTATCTGGGAAATCCACAATAGCGACTTGGCCTGGAAACGGGTAGCTGACCCCTTGCTCTAAGCCCAATGAAAATAAGAACACGACAGAGTAATAAGAGGGTCGCTTAGAACTAACACAGACAATACAGAAACTCCATCCACAGACGCCCCGGAGTAGAAAGCATGGCTGAAACAGGAACCATAGGTGCTTCTGTGGGGCCATGCAAATTGGCAAAATGTGAAAAACTTCCAACGATATACAGTGACGTAAGGTAGGAAGAGGGGGAGGGGAAGAAGGGACGAGGGACAGAGAGAGAGAGAGAGAGAGAGAGAGAGAGAGAGAGAGAGAGAGAGAGAGAGAGAGAGAGAGACGTATCGTTTAATTGGCATTCGGCCCAAACCTATTGTCCCTCCCAGTTGCCATGGCGCTGCTTTCCTGCTCGTTATTCCAAGTCAAATATGTGTGATCACCCAGCTTTCTATGGGAATTGTTAACATGTCGGGGGTAAATCGGGACCACACCAGGAGAAGCAACGTACCGGGGTCGCACTAGATGAGCAATAGTGAAAAGTGCCCCTAGCAGGACGCAGAGACCACCCACGACGACGTATGCGATACCCATGAAAGGGTTCTGCCCGCCGATAACGGTCCGGGAAGATATCAGGATTGACTTTGTTCCCCCATACTCCGTAACGGGGAAGTCTTTGCAATAGTCAGCACAGGACTAAAGGTGTATAATTATCAACCTTACGTTGCGCAATCTCCAGTTGATAGGTGCCTGGTGCCATTGCTGTGGTATCATTCCTCCGGGACAGCTTGCTAAAGTTGGGTAATGCAGCCGTCCTCATCCAAACCATGAATTCCTCGTCTTCATGAAGATCAGGTATCTCCTCGGTGTAATTATGCGGATAGCGGGATTGCCAATTTGGTGGGGGAACGACCTGCCCTGGCTTGTACTGTGTGGTTTTAATAAGTTCCTTATCACTATCCCATGCGATGCCCTTATTAGTCATGAAGTACACGACAGGGTCATCTTGATTTCCGTCGTTTAGTAGCTCGGGACTTTTGATTGTATCGTTGAACATAGAGTTGGCGATAAGTCCACATGGATAGTATGCCTTGCCACTGGCATCAAGCTTAAGGGGGTCACATGAGCCGCCATCAATTGTTTTATTGTCGACTGCCTTCCCTTTTAGTTGGTCCATATCTAGCGACTTGACGTATCGGCGATGGTTTTGGTAAAAATTGGTCAGACGATAATACATAAACACAGGAGGGCCGATGCTGTCGGGAATCTCGAAACTTAAGCGACAAATAGTCTCGTTCTGCTTGTCTTGGTATTTCATCCAAGTAGGGGGAGACTGTTGGCTCGATGACTTGAAGGATGAGTGGACTTTGTCTGAAATCGGAACAGGTGTCGAGGGTGCTTTTTCGGCACACTCCGAATAATCTATCACGATTTCTTGTACCTTTAACGATGTGCCATTTCTCCATTAGCAGTAAGCGCGTTATGAGGGGATGTCGAAGCTTACTTCCGAGCTTGCCCATAAGAGAAGGCCACCGATGGGTGCAAAGATGACACCGACAACGAAAAATAGAGGCAGCACACTCCTCGGTGTTAAGATAGGCCTGTGCAGTGTCAGCAAAACGCGACAGGAGTGCTATGCAACTAATCAGGCCAAAAGCTTACTGCCAGGCTTTCAAGCGCTGCTGTCGAAAAGCGGTATCTAGGTTTAGCATTAGTATTGGTCTAGACATATGATGTTGGAGGTTTGCAAATTCCATACTTGCTGGCCTCTTGTTCTTTTGTTTCTTATCGCTTTCTACATCGCCCCTGGGTTCTTGTTCACCCAAGGAGTCTGTACGAGCGGCCTCGGTTTGAGACATAATCATCCAAAGATTTCCTCGCGGTTTCCAGTATCATATAAAAAAAGACTGAAGCCTCACTATGTGGAATCAATTGCCAGGGCGAAATATAAAAGAGGAAGGAATATATGCACGAGACATGAAAGTCGGAGTTAACTGTGGCGCGGGTCGCAAGTAATGGGGATTTATTGCGTAGTTGGCCGGCTTCGCATCCCACCTACCGCTCCTTTTCGCAACCATTACTTTCAGAGCCCTCCTCTACATCTAAAAGCGTCACGTGTATAGCGCGTATTATCTTTAAGCTGCCAAGTACATTCATAAATATTGGCTCGGATTACTTTATCTCACGGCCAAAGGCCCAAGAAGGGTCATATATACATGATGAGTTAAACATTGACTTGCTAAGCCGAATTACTCTGTTAGCAAGGCAAGGCAAAGCTCACTTTTAAGTCCCGAATCACAAAGCGTACACTAAAACCTGTCGTCCTTCGCGTCCTCCTTTTCGGTTTCCCCCTTTTCTGCAAATGTATAATTTACCTTACAATAGATGGAAAACGCCCAATAAGGAATTGTTACGGAAAGGTCAGTCATCTACCCAATAATACAGAAAATACTAAGGCTCTATGCTCAGTTTGAATTTGGTTGATCATCTAGTACTAACAGCAAGCAAACCGATACTACCATTCGAGATAATACTAATCGTACCCGATCCTTGAACACGACAGGTCCCGGTTAAGATAGTAAGAAGGGGATAAAGAAGAGAGGATTGTGGTGACACGGGCAGTATATGATTCGTAACCATTCCTTGTGTCTGCGAAGCAAGAAGTAATAAGAGAACATCAACCACAGCTATGCATAAGAAGAAATGCGAGCATACTCCAACTACAACACTAGAAGACATGATGAATTGCGACAAGAAGATGAATTAGAAGTGCAGAAGTCACTGTTGGACGCAGGCCAGCCATGTCCAGTGACATAAGGCAAGAAGCTTCAAATAAAATGCATGAATCTGGGATCGAATTCGCTAATTAACTGACGAAAGTTCAAATGATGGGTGCAGCAGTTTTTTCATGGCAGTCTTGATTTGATATATCTTTCGATATCATGTAAAGAACTGTTCGAAATGCTCTGGCCTGAACCAGCCAACCCGATCATACGCTGTCCAAAGCTTGCTTGCTTTGTTAACATCGATCTTGCAAGCTTGTTGAGCGTCTGTCTTCCGGAACTCCTTGCCGACATTCAGAGCTTTAACACGAGCCTCGAAGATGCGACGCTTGCTGCATAAGTACGTTGCACATGATAGTCTTAATGTGGCTGCAAGGTTGAGCTCAGCGGCATTCAGTAAGTGTCGATCCGGATCATTGCCAAGATCTAGCATTTGTCCTTTCCAATCTGCTTTTAATGCTTTTGCATTGCTGCCGAGGGTCTCTAATGGTGGGGAATAATCCTTGATGGATTTATAATCTGTGTCATCCCGATTTGTGCCTATAGCTCGGGGTTGCTTGTTACTCGATTGGGGAGTTAAGTCAAAGGAATCCAAAACTTTCTGCTTTGGTGTGGATCTTGGTGTACGCTTGACCCTGGGAGTCCGCTGCGCACGGGTTTGAGCAGGAACTGTCCTCTTGGTCGGCGCTGGTGCGATTTTCTTTAACTTCACTTCCAACGTATGAGGACGACAACGATTCATCATAACCAGTTGGCGCTCGAGCGTTTCACGCTCCTCTTTAGCCCATGCTCCTGGGTTGCGATTATATTGAGCTGAGACGATTGGCACACACGAAAGGGCTAGAAGGTACTCATCGCGTGTCGGTTTATTTAATTTATTTTCAAACCTTGCCATGTGGGAATTAATGTGTTGCTCAACCAAGGCTTCCGTCGCGGGCGGGAGTATAGGCCCGAATAATGGCTCATCAGTGGCGACCTCAGTAAGAGAGTCGTGGCGAGGAAAGAGGACGGGGTCTCTTGAAGAGCCAACCACTGTATCTCTCTCGATCTGTTCTGATGTATTGGACTTCCTTTTTTTGTTGCCTGAGTAAGGGGTGACAGGTGGCGACGGCAAGTCCATCTCTGATTGTGTTCGCTTCCGATCGACTGAGATAGGCGGAAGTCTCATATCATGGCTGAATGAGGAATCCTGTGACATTTGATGGGGTGAAAATGGAGCGTTAAAACTATCGAAGGGTTTGGACTCTGGGGGCGACATGAGGCTGGAAACGGATGGTAAACGATTCATGTTGGTCTTGTCGCTTCGGCCCAGGGGAGAGGCGACAGTAAATGAGGTCATCCCAATGGATTGAACGCCGGACGCGAACACAGACAACAGGACAAAGGGTGGTAGAAAGGAGTGGGAGGGGATGGACTCTGGGGGAATATCACTTGTGTTCTGCTAGAAATATAGTGCCTGAGAAGGGTAATATATGACGGAACACCCGGTGGGATGTGTTTATGGAAGTCAGTGGAAAAGGGATTGGGCTATGCTGGCAAAGCACACGTGAAAGTGATTTGTCAGGGCCGCCTCTTTGTCCTATGGGTGGCAATAGGCGGATGACATATGTAGGCCCCCTTCGGCGATAAGGCTCACTATGGCCGGGGCGTGTGGTTGATTGATAGAAATATATAGGCGATCTCTCCTACTGATATCAGGCCTCTATTGGAAAGAAGGGTGGGGGGAGGTCGTGTTCTATTTAAGCAACTCAAGGACAGATAACAGGGCAAGTCTATTCCTATTTGGAAACAGTTCAGAGTTGAGAGGCAATAATAAATACACTAAGGCCCCTGGGAGAGGCGGACGCAAAACTGAAAAGGGATCGAACTATTATGAGTCAATGCGCCAATTACTGGGGCTGATGCTTCAGGCGCAGTACCCATGATGTTCATAAGACATGCGGGGTTGGCGCGTGGCAGTAGAAACATCTACCTAATCACAAGATCACAATTCCCTCTACCAATTGCAGAGCCACCAGAAAGCATTGGAAGGTGCGATGGCCATGGAGGGATATATATTACCAAAACCTAGCGGGAGTTCAAATACTGCACTTGACTGGAGTGAAAACGGTGCGGTAGTACTGTTTTCTGATAACTGCGGGAATTCAGTGTTTCGGTTGTCCACCGCTATATGACGACAACTGCCACAATAGAGCGGGGATAGATCTATTGTGCTATTAGTATAATGGGAGGGGGGCAAAGTGGGTGTGGGTACACACCCTCGGTGTGACATCCATCGAGGGGCATTTTTGGCAATACCCACCAATAGCAGCTCTGAATTGGTATTTTCCTCTCAGTAGGTTAGGCTGAAAGAGTGGATAAGAGTCAGATCACTTGTAACATCATACAGCCTAGTAGTGGATGAATCATGGGCGATCTTCAGCCCCACAACTTGAGGTTGCCTGACGGTCAGACCTGACATAACAATGGCAATCTCTCATGGTACTGTAAGTAACCAGGTGGAGTACGCAGACCTGACCAGTATGTACAGGTTTGTAATAAAGTGTACAGTACCTAAAACTAAGCAGCGACCGCTTACCTTACCCACTCTGTTATGGATAATCGAACGTCCTACTGTATGTACCACTCCGTAAAATGGTATCTAATGGGCACGTGCACCATACTTATTCAGCATAGATTTTTATGGGGTCTGTATAGTATATATATGTACTATATCTTGGTAATACGTACAGCCATATTGATACGCTGGCAAGTTCCCATTTGATATTTTGGGGCAGAGTCTGCCAATGTTGGAATTTCCAGTCAGCTTATGCTATATGTAGGCCATGTCACGTTTATATTATCTGATCCTGATCCTGAGCGATGACATGCCACTATGATGTGATATGGAATGCCTTGCCTTAAGCATGATTTGTCTTGTGACAACGAGCAATCACCTAGCAGCAAAACTTGATTGCTTAGGTAGTGATGCTGACTTCGGTATCCATGGGTGATGAAAGACCATGGCTCATAAGTTTGAGTCAGACCCTGGACGCATGACTCACAGCACGTGAGCTACTATGTGGCCTGGGGGGCCTGAGGCAGCTTGATGTCACTCCAGCACACGTGTCTCTAGCGGCCTACCTAATGGAGAATGGAGGAAGGCCTAAATGACATGTCGAGATAGACAAATAGCAGCCACAGCCAACAATACCCTTACATGACTTGGGCTAACAGTAGGAACTATAGGATCAATGGCTGTGTGGTAGAGAAACAAGAGTTGCATGACTGACTACAAAACATATCTGTTCCCCGCCTGGTATCCAAATTTTCTACTTCTAGTAATTCTAGATTATAATGACTGGCCTCTACACTTGAAAATTCCGTGGTTCGCGTTGTGTAAGGGTGTCATGATGATTTGGTTATGTAGTAGAAAGATGGATTTTTCCAAGTCCCAGGAGCGGGATGTTACTTACAAAGCGGTGAAGAAAGCGGTACAACAGGGTAAACAGAAACTTGGGAGGGAGAATTGCAATAATATAAGGGGTATAAAAAAGGTCAATGTCCTTGTTGATACAGGGGTTGTACAGTAAGTAATCATTAAATAAGGACAGGATATGATAGAAAAGAAGTAAAATAGTAAGATAATTAATTTTTCCAGTTAAAATCCTTAACAAGTTCTTTACAACCTTCCAGTAGTTGTCATGGTGTGACCTCTGGGTGCATTCAGAAGCCTAACCGCTGCGTTATCAGCAAAAGGCTAGGATACAACACTTAAGGCTTTGTACTGCACTCACATATATAAGCATGTTCAAGATTCAGGCAGGTAGGTGCCTGCAGGCATACTGAGACAATTAATATTAGACTTAATAAATTAGTAATGTTAATTATGGATATGCTTTATTTAAATAATAATAAAATATATAGCTTTCTCTACATTGTGACAAATTCACTGGTGTTTGTGCTGTTTGTACATAGCTTGCTATTTCACGTCACAGGTCTCGTGTCCCCCACAACACTTCCTCCTTTCCTCTCACGCTTGAGATTCTAGATAAGATAGCATCAATATCATTATATTGATCAGCCATTATATAATTTCAAGTGTCTGTATCATTGTTCTCTTAATACTGTACGCGGTCTGCAAGAAGCTGCCAGTATCCAAAATCTCTACATCTTTGACAACGCTACAACAGCCTAGGCTGACCGTCCGGACGGGATGGGACGGAAATGGGATGTCCCGTGACCCGTCCTACCCCGATCTTAGCATCCCGTTTCCCATCCCATCCCAATTGTGGGGAGAGAATAGGAATCCCATGTTACGCCTAGGTATTCGGGCGAGAGCTCTGTGAGTGTTAGCTGCCTTGCGTAGCGTGGAGAGTAACCCTGAACGATGAATCTGAGGGGATTCCGTGGCTGTGAACGACGGTAGTTCTGAGTATGATGCTATCCAGGATCTGATGGTATGACCTAATCCAAGGTCTGATAATATGCGATACTATTCTGTGAATAGCTTCAAGTCCAAAAGGCCAGGCCTACTAAGCATATATACTCAGTAGTTAAGGAAGTATAAATAAGTTGATTACTAACTTAATACTAAAGGTATATCCTAAGTAACAATATTAATTAATTATAAAGAACTAAACTAAGTATATAAATAAGTATTCTTATATATTCTTTATTAGCTACTCCTGTGGTGACTCTTATAGAGATAGGTCTGGGAATATATCTAATCACTATAGATAGTTCTGTTGTTGGGTGCTTCTGATTATGGTGTAGAACGATTGATTTCCTTAAGCTGCAGGAGCAGGATGCTGCTAAGTTCTACATACAAAGCGGTGAAAGGCGCGGTACAGCAAGGCAGGCAGAAAGGAACGAGTAGACTTGTTAGGCCCGCGGGTTGGGCCGGGTTTCGAGTATAGTACAACCCGACCCGGGTGGGTTACGGTCCGGGTCAGAAATCTGAAAACCACCCAAGGGTCATTCAAAATAAAAAATTTTAGCCCAAAAAAACCATGAAAACCCGCCAAGAATAATGACTAACCATATAAAGTAAGTTGCTAACTATATCTGGTAAGATTAAATATCTTTTAACATTCTTAGGCTTTTATAAGATAAACGATATTTTATCAATGTAGTATTCCTTAGATTTGATGTATCCTGCATCAGCTATCTTGTAAATTAAATCTAACTAAGTTAG